ATAAAGCGACCCTTTCCATATCCATGAGAAATCTCTGTCAAAAAGAGAATCGATTGTATGATTCCGACTATATCATGAGCATGTGTTTATGAATCATTATCAAATAGTGATGATACCAGGTGTTCGCGAAAAAGTCCAAGTTAGTTCATACACCTCGGATCACCAGCGGGAGGGCAATGTCCTCACACCTAGTCGCATAAAACGTTCGTCACGTGGACAAATATCACGCGTATATGTCAAACGATTTTGTTATGTCTTCTCTTCCGCCTACACAAGGACGTCGTACACTAGCGATAGGGCATCGACTCAACGTGTGCGATATTAAATACAACAACTGTAACATCGGTTGCCTGCTGCTGTCAAACGTCTTTGATTTCATATCAGGGTGTGTGTTTGGAAATATAGCTGACTGACGACAAAGATGTATGGCCCAGAAAATAGTTTACCACGTTGTCAGAGAGGCGTATTCCATATCTCCCATAAAACACAAACTTGGGCTAATAAAAAAAAACGTCAAACCCGAACGTGTAGAGTCCATACGAGTTGCGTCCCTTGGGCACGCCAGAAACCTATGATGGTGGGTTGGAATCCCGGTTCGCACCTATTATATTTCTAAGTTTGTAAGCACCATACCCGTGCTCGTGGGTTTCACCGAAGTGGTAAACGTCCGACACCTGCATCACTTTGGGCTTTCCTCCCGCATTAAGCTAACTGGAATACTGTTAAAAGCGGCGTTAAACCAAACTCTCTCACTATAGTCTTCACAATGAAACAGTTAGGTTTGCAGAGGAATAATGGATAAGAACTGTGGTATAAGGGGTGGTACCTCCTCGTGCATTTACGGCATTGCGATGAACGTGTCGAAGCGTAAAAAAAATAGGTTTGTCAAGCTATTCTCGCTTAGTTTATTCTTTTCAGTGTCCTTAATCCTCACACAAAAGCAAGCAAGACCAGGGAGAAATAGTTTGGTGTTGAATAGTTTGGCAAGAAGAAACTGTCGTGGAAGCTCCACCCCAAGCAACGTTCATACAGTTCCAAGTTTTGTTTGTTTTTGTAACGCCGCACTCAGAAATATTCCATCTTGGCAGGACAATAGGTCTTCAGCAACCCATGCTTGCCATAAAATGCGACTATGCTTGTCGTAAAAGGCGACTATGCTTGTCGCAAAAGGCGACTAACGGGATCGGGAGGTCAGGCTCGCTGACTTTGTTGATGCATGTCGTCGTATTCCGATTGCATGGATCAATGCTCATGACGTAATCACTTGAATTTTCTGGTCCAGAGTCGATCATTTACAGACCGCCGTCATATAGCTGGAATATTGCTGAGAGCGGCGTTAAACAACAAACAAACAATCAAACATCATTTGATAGGCACGCTACTAACAAAGGAAATAATATCTTCATCTAAATCTCAAACACAGGTCCTTTCTGAATCTTTGTCAGTTAAGCAGCTAATATCGCTACACGTATACTAATGCCGTAGTATTTGTTGAGGAACGTGTCACAGACAAAGGATTCTTTAACAGGTAAATATCCCATGCGTGAAAAGTCTAATTCCCCCTCAATGCCCACACGTCGGTAATATTTGTCCTTGTAACGGTAATCGGCAGTGCGGCGACCGTAACGGCCGTTGATGTCCGATTATTTACACAAGAAGATGGTGCATGTCCGAACCACGGCGCGAGAGATCGCACGTTCACTGTAACCTTTGCATGCTCAGTGTCTAAATTCCCACCTCTATCCAGGCCCTCGTGTATCGACAGCACACAATGAACACTTGGACTGTGGGAATGTGTTATTTTAGAAAAAAAAAGTGTGAAATTATTTGATTTGCTAGTTGCATCTGGAACAGGATGAAACGAGTTTGTGGCATTTGTCGTGCTCGTGGTAACCCACAGTGCAAAACGAACCTATTTCTTACACACCCTTTTTTGTCTTTACTTATAAGCAGCAGAATATCTGCACTTGTACACGGCTAATTAACATATCTCTTTAAGTTTCAACAAGGTTATTAGATGCGCTACCGTGTGACTGGATTTCTGGTCCATCACTTGATTGTCTGGTTTGTTTACATGCTGTAGGGGGAGTGCTTCTATGCGGCATCAACAAGCAAACACATACGTTTACTTTTTATGGTTGTTGGTTGGATTGTTGTTTAACGCCGCACTCAGCAATATTCCAGCTATATGACGGCGTTCTGTAAATAATCGAGTCTGGACCAGACAATCCAGTGATTAATATCATGAGCATCGATCCACGCATTTGGGATCAATGACATGCATCAACCAAGTCAGCGAGCCTGACCACCCGATCCCGTTAATCGCCTTTTACGACAAGCACAGTCACCTTTTACGGCAAGCATGGGTTGCTGAAGACCTATTCTACCCCGGAATCTTCACGGGTCTTACTTTTTATGGAAATTGTGTGAATGGTTGGTGCTACCGATAGGACAGGATATAATTACCCTTTTCGTGAACACCTGGTGTCATCAAAGAACTTCGGTGATCCATTCATATAATGGCACCGCTAGTTTACCTTTTACACGCAATGTAATCCGTTTCATCCCATAGTCGAGAATAGTTCTCCTGTCGTGTTGACGTTTTACATTTACATAAATAGATCAGTGCAATCGATGATATTTCTATAAAGCTTTGCAAATTGACACATTTACCAACAGCGTATACACACAGTATCGTGAAGATGGTAATACTGAGTATGGGTGAATAAAACAAACAAGTAAACAAGCGTCATTACAAAGAACCCGAAATGCAGCTAGGATAATTGGCCAAGAGTCACACCGTCGAAAACATGTTTATTCATATCATACTTAACTGTCCAAACTTAACACGTTATATGGCCTTAATGCTATCGTGAGTATTTATATATTCATGACAATATGATATATTATGACAACGGTAAATTTTGTGGAATGAATGAATACATTTGTTAAACACCGTAGTCTGACATAATCAGACGGAGTATGTTAGCCGGTGGTTGATGGCATGAGCACTGGTTAATACCGCCGGGTTGCGATGACACGCACTCGACTAGATACATGTATCATATCTGTTGCTGACTCGACGTGATACATGTATCATACCTGTTGCTGACTAGACGTGATACATGTATCATATCTGTTGCTGACTCGACGTGATACATGTATCATATCTGTTGCTGACTCGACGTGATACATGTATCATACCTGTTGCTGACTAGACGTGATACATGTATCATATCTGTTGCTGACTCGACGTGATACATGTATCATACCTGTTGCTGACTAGACGTGATACATGTATCATATCTGTTGCTGACTCGACGTGATACATGTATTATATCTGTTGCTGACTCGACGTGATACATGTATCATATCTGTTGCTGACTCGACGTGATACATGTATTATATCTGTTGCTGACTCGACGTGATACATGTATCATATCTGTTGCTGACTCGGCGTGATACAGATGTTGATGATGTTACTTTCACGGCGATATACATATGTGATGTTGCTGTCACGGCTTGATACGGATGTGATGTTGCTGACTCGATGTGATACAGATGTGATGTTGCTGACTCGATGTGATACAGATGTGATGTTGCTGACTCGACGTGATACAGATGTGATGTTGCTGACTCGACGTGATACAGATGTGATGTTGCTGACTCGACGTGATACGGATGTGATGTTGCTGACTCGATGTGATACAGATGTGATGTTGCTGACTCGGCGTGATACAGATGTGATGTTGCTGACACGGCGTGATACAGATGTGATGTTGCTGCCACGGCTTGATACGGATGTGATGTTGCTGATGTTACTGTCACGGCGTGATATATATGGGATGTTGCTGATGTTGCTGCCACGGCTTGATACGGATGTGATGTTGCTGATGTTGCTGTCACGGCTTGATACGGATGTGATGTTGCTGATGTTACTGTCACGGCGTGATATAGATGGGATGTTGCTGATGTTACTGTCATGGCGTGATACAGATGTGATGTTGCTGCCACGACTTGATACGGATGAGATGTTGCTGTCATGGCGATATACATATGTGATGTTGCTGTCACGGCGTGATATAGATGGGATGTTGCTGATGTTACTGTCACGGCGTGATACGGATGTGATGTTGCTGAGTGGAAACATGACTATATGATACCCTTCTGGTTGGATCACCGATATGTCACACAACGAACAGAAACACGATAAGAATGCAACTTTGCACTGCATACTATATATACAATAAGCAGTATCAAAATTGAAACAAACCAACAAACCTTGTCGTTAAATGTTGAACTCAGGTTCAAGTTCCCGGCCCCTCGTAAGTTTAATGTGAGAAGCCCATTCTTGGAGTCTAGTCAGTACAAATTACAACCCGAGCTCTTGTATGCTTGCAAGATAAGTTGCTTGCAACAGGTTTTCACAAGACATAGTATATTATTGACTGATATTGCACATACCAAGAATCAACTAAAATATGTTGAACTATCAAGTATTTACGTTTCGTTCTGATTCCTGGTGTCATTGCTGATTATTCATAAACAGTAAACTACGGTTATAACGAACTCAACGGGACCACTACGTTTAGTTCGAAATAACCGCAGTTCGTTGTAAGAATATATACGGGATATATATAGTAAATGGCCGGGACCTAAACCAGTTCGTTATATCCGTTATAATCGTGTTTGTTATAAATGTAGTTCACTGTAGTGGTCTGAGATCCATTCATATAGTTTTTACCTCTATTTTCCCTTTTGCGCACAGTCGGGTGAACGAGACTGGTTGTTCTCTGGCGTTGACATTTTATTTTGAGAATTATGGAAAGAGCTTTGTTGGTTTTATTCAATACACCTTGATTTAACCGGGTTCTTGTTCTCAAGATACCATTTATACAAATTCAAAATGTTGCTGTACATTTCCAGTCGTTGTAATTCGGTTCAGAGGTTCATGTTTTGGTTTTTTTTAAAACAAACAAAACCAATATATGACAACTTACCAAAGAGACACATGGGCCCGGTTTGGTTGACTGGCACTTAAAGCTGCGAAATAATACTTGCAGGAACTCCCTGGTCTTGTTCGGACTGAGGGTATCGCTGTCTGTGACGTTTAAAGTGGTGAGCACTTGCTGATACACATTAACTCGGCCACGGCTGTGGTGTTCCTGACTTGAGACCCCCAGATGGATCGTTGATGAAAAAATAGCAATAATAAGAACAATATCCACAAAGAAGGTTGCCATGTCAAAGCTGTGTTTTCACCTGTGTGTCTTTTAGCATCTAGGGACTTAAGAGGCTCTCGTGGGGTTGATAGGTGGGAGCCGTGTGCAAAGGTTTCACGACACAATATGGCAGTCACGTGACAACAACGTGCTGACTCATTGAGTTGTGAAGCAATCCCCCGAAGACGTTTACGTATCTGTAAAAAGCGTAATATGACACGGTTGTAATTTTCTTGTCTCAGTGACAGACCATTTATTAAAAAGAACATCTTTCTGAATGGAGGAACTAAATAACCATTTGAACCTGCAACGCATTATTTCCCAGAACATTCACCATGTCCAGTGTTCAACCTTTATTTAGTCGTCTCAGGACAATCCTTTCCCAGCAGTTTCGGGAAAGAATTATAAGAAAAAACCCATAAACTCCCCACCCCGACTAAGATTCTCAAGTGGTCTTCCCAGGATAAACATGCACTGACGCAATTACACAACAGCGCTGAACGATATCATTTGAAAATGTAACTCTACAAGGTTAATGTATCGGGCCATATGCAAAGTCACGATGAATAAGGTTACTAGGTCTTCATATACAGACCTTCTCCTTAGGTCTATGTACACTATGAAGTATCGATAGAATAATGACATTGTTCTTTATACGTACGTGGTCCGTTTCATGTTTTCGTGGTCTCCTTACATTTTGAATTTGGCTTTCCCTGTTATGTTTTTGTAGACTGCATCAATGATGCATCTGGCACTCCCTATCATGTTTTAGTGGGATGCGTCAATAGTGCGTCGGACTTTCCCTATCATGTTTTAGTGGGATGCGTCAATAGTGCGTCGGGCTTTCCCCATCATGTTTTAGTGGGCTGCGTCAATAGTGCGTCGGGCTTTCCCTATCATGCTTTAGTGGGATGCGTCAATAGTGCGTCGGACTATCCCTATCATGTTTTAGTGGGCTGCGTCAATAGTGCGTCGGGCTTTCCCTATCATGTTTTAGTGGGATGCGTCAATAGTGCGTCGGACTTTCCCTATCATGTTTCAGTGGGATGCGTCAATAGTGCGTCGGGCTTTCCCTTTCATGTTTTTGTGGGCTGCGTTAATAGTGCGTCGGGCTTTCCCTATCATGTTTCAGTGGGCTGCGTCAATAGTGCGTCGGGCTTTCCCTATCATGTTTTAGTTGGATGCGTCAATAGTGCGTCGGGATTTCCCTATCATGTTTTAGTTGGATGCGTCAATAGTGCTTCGGGCTTTCCCAATTATGTATTTTTGTGGACTGCAGCAATGATGCATCTGGCATTCCCTATCATGTTTTAGTGGGATGCGTCAATAGTGCGTCGGGCTTTCCCTATCATGTTTTAGTGGGATTCGTCAATAGTGCGTCGGACTATCCCTATCATGTTTTAGTGGGCTGCGTCAATAGTGCGTCGGGCTTTCCCTATCGTGTTTTAGTGGGATGCGTCAATAGTGCGTCGGGCTTTCCCTATCATGTTTTAGTTGGATGCGTCAATAGTGCGTCGGGCTTTTCCTATCATGTTTCAGTGGACTGCGTCAATAGTGCGTCGGGCTTTTCCTATCATGTTTCAGTGGGCTGCGTCAATAGTGCGTCGGGCTTTCCCTATCATGTTTCAGTGGGATGCGTCAATAGTGCGTCGGGCTTTCCCTTTCATGTTTCAGTGGGCTGCGTTAATGGTGCGTCGGGCTTTCCCTATCATGTTTCAGTGGTGTGCGTCAATTGTGCGTCGGGCTTTCCCTATTGTTTTAGTGGGATGCGTCAATAGTGCGTCGGGCTTTCCCTATCATGTTTTAGTGGGATGCGTCAATAGTGCGTCGGGCTTTCCCTATCATGTTTCAGTGGGCTGCGTCAATAGTTCGTCGGGCTTTCTCTATCATGTTTCAGTGGGCTGCGTCAATAGTGCGTCGGGCTTTCCCTATTATCGGGAATAAAGACATTCAATTGGGAACATAGACAATCAATTGGGAATATATTCCATCAGGAATATTAACATTCCACCGGTAATACAAGACATTCAATCGAGAAGAAAGACATTCGTTGGAGAATAAAGACTTTCACCCGGGAATAAAGACATTCAATCGAGAATAAGGCATTCACCCGGGAATTAAGACATTCAATCGAGAATAAAGACATTCCACTGGGGGAAACCTATGTGTATACGGTGTCTGTGTGTATGCGGTGTCTGTCTCACCTGTGTGTATGGTGTGTCTGTCTCACCTGTGTGTATGTGGTGTCTGTCTCACCTGTGTGTATGGTGTGTCTGTCTCACCTGTGTGTATGTGGTGTCTGTCTCACCTGTGTGTATGTGGTGTCTGTCTCACCTGTGTGTATGGTGTGTCTGTCTCACCTGTGTATGGGGTCTCTGTCTCACCTGTGTGTATATGGTGTCTGTCTCACCTGTGTGTATGGGATGGCTGTCTCACCTGTGTGTATGTGGTGTCTGTCTCACCTGTGTGTATGTGGTGGCTGTCTCACCTGTGTGTATGGGGTCTCTGTCTCACCTGTGTGTATGTGGTGGCTGTCTCACCTGTGTGTATGTGGTGTCTGTCTCACCTATGTTTTTTGGGTGTCTGTCTCACATGTGTGTATGGGGTGTATGTCTCACCTGTGTGTATGGTGTGTCTGTCTCACCTGTGTGTATGGGGAATCTGTCTCACCTGTGTGTAATGGGGGTCTGTCTCACCTGTGTGTAATGGGTGTCTGTCTCACCTGTGTTTTGCACCTGTACGAAATCTGAAATCTGAAACAGACGTCCTGATTTTTTAACCATGGAATCCCACCACTCCAAACCTGGCTATATTGAAAATATTTACTACAGTAAGTAAAAGGTATATCGAAAACCTGTATGTACAATAATAATCACACGGCAGCTTGAGCGAAGTAGGTTTATAATGCAATAATAACCACAGTGGCTTGACGCAAGGGACGCAAACCACCCAGGGCTGCAGTTTACTGCAGCGAGAATTACACGTAACGTTTCTCTACACATGACAAAAGTTTCAAGCAATGAGATCAATTCCCCTTAAGTCAGATATGTGACAGGATCAGATAGTTGTATCAGACTGATTGTTAGTTTTGTCATTTAATGGTACACATAGTAAACATCCAAATACACACCCACATCATCTAGAGCATGTTATTGTCAACGGATGGACAACGCCTCAATTGGGCAACGCATATGTATGTAAAACATTTGGTTTGGGTGTCGTTTGGAGTAGAAAAAATAGCACAGGTCGTTTTAGTATAACGTCCTGATCTCGGCAAGTCCCTCACATGTCGAGTCACTGTGTGTTTTCTAATGAGTCGACTGACAACTGTATGATTAATGTTCAACATTGGGACAATAGCCCGACATAACATGCCAATTTGGTGCACGCCAAGGGAATTTTTTTATGGATAGTACTCTCAGACATTTTAGTTACAATCGTTCCAAAAAAGGGATTTTCAAATTGGTAGAACTCTCATCAAAATTAACAGTAGTAAGAACGCATGAACTTTCAGTCATGAAACATGAATGGAAAAGTGTGCATACGACTCGCATTAGCACCCACAGGTTTGGGCAGTTAAGATGGTTACCATTCCTCAGGCAGATGGTGTATCAATGCACAGTGCACCATTTGAAAATCTCTACACTCCCACTTACACTTCAAACTTGGTGGTGCGACACTTTTGACGAGGTGTATTTATTTTAGGTCATGGAAAATATATCTTAAGTCTCAGAATGCGTGACTATAATTGAGTGCTATTCAAGTTGAGAAGACTTCCTTGATAAATTCTCATACTTGATGTATATGATATAATTGTACATTTTACTCAAGTTTGCAAGAACCCCTAAATAATACATGGCAATAACTATACTCCACAGTGGCTATGCCATTTCACAAATGTCACTTTTCAAGTTCCTACTTTACTATTTTCAACACGATAACAACAAGAAATAGTCTCACTTCAATTGCAAAGTGTTGAAAATAAGGTATATACTTTAGCCTCTTGAAACTGCTATGCAGACTTGACGTCACGCCATAACACAGTTCGCACTATATTCAATGTTGCATTTATTGAACTCTAAAAAACTTATCGATCATGTTATGTAGAAATACTGAATATAATGTATCTAATCATGAATAATTTGAAGATACGCCTCCACGTAGACAGCCATCTAAGCAACAACTGTTGTGTTATTGCTTTGGTTTGCCAGCTGTTGTGTGCATCCCATAACTGATCAAACTGCCACAGCCATGAATCCAAAAAGACTAGCGGCAGAGAGATCGATCAGGCCGTCTGTATTGTGTGTGTTTTTCCCGCCTTCAATATCCCACTGATCTTAATACGCAACAGTTTTAGTCTCTATCATAAGTAGTTCAATTTATTTTATAGATTTCGTTTCACTGCCTCCTTCTGAAACTGAGCTGGGACGTGAGAAACACATATAGTATGAGTGAGTGAGTGAGTTTGGTTTTACGCCGCTTTTAGCAATATTCCAGCAATATCACGGCGGGGGACACCAGAAATGGGCTTCACACATTGTACCCATGTCGGGATTCGAACCCGGGTATTCGGCGTGACGAGCGAACGCTTTAACCACTAGGCTACCCGACCGCCCCCACATATAGTGTGATATGGCTGGCGTAATAGTGTTGTATTTAAGTGTAATGGACCGAATCGCTACAATGCTGTTCATAACATACATAATAATATGTATGTCAATGGCAAGGTTTGTGGTAATCGGCCCAAGTACTTCAGGTAAAGTTTGAAATGTTTCAGATATTGAGACAGCAAAAGAAGTCAGTCCTTTGCGCGATCAACTAGAATGTTACAGGTGAGGTGGATGGGTATTATCGGTATTTGACTCATATATCGACGTGCATGCACGTGTGTGTGTGTGTGTATGTGCGTGCGTGCGTGTGTGTGTGCGTGCGTGCGTGTGCGCGTGCGTGCGTGTGTGCACGTGTGTGTCTGCTTGTACTTGTAAAGATTTATTCAGGTTTTTTAGAGCTAGAACACTCGGATACCATGTCCAAGTTCCACTCAGACATAGAATACTGACTACGAACCGACCTGTCCTTGTCTGTTCCCTTAATGCCGATTCCAGGCAGGGTAAAAACAAGTACCATTTTTGTAACGTGTTTGGGTATGACGCATCCAAGGGGTCGAAGCACCGACCTTCCTCTCTCAAGGTTCTATCCACTACTCAGAGGAGACGATTTTTTTATCGAATAAGAATAAAGCCACCGGTGTTATTTGAAATAACTATTTCCTTGTATTCTTATCATTTAATATTTTCTTTAGATTAGATGGGGCACGAGAAAGCCAAATATGATCTCACAAAGTGAGTTTAACAACCCGTTTAGCAACAGTCTTTTTAAAGCATAGGGGACCTGAAGAATGGTATCACAAATTGTACTCAAGTGAGGAATCGAACCCGGGTCATAGCTGTGACGAGCGAACGCCTTAACAGCTGGGCTACTGCACCGCCCAGTTGTCACATACAAACAATAGGATACAGTGTTTCCGCGGCGAACGAACAATCCATTTAATGTGGCTTTGTACATTATCATTGTGTGGCTTGTGATTATCATTGCAAACTCATTTGGGGATTAATCGTTTAATGATGACCATCAGTGGGAAGCACTCAAGTATACTGTAGCAGCTGGCCACCACACACACAACACATGGGGCGGAAACTATGTCACGCGGATGTAATACTATGGCGATCTACCCCTGCTTCTCTAAATATGGTATGATCTACAATGGCAATTGCTAATACGAAGTAAATTTTCTAAAGAAAATGAAATAATCAATAGAAATGAATTGCATAATGGTTCAAACTGTGAATTTGAATTGTGTTAAGTTCGGCGCAACATCTGTCCCCAAACAAGGGCGTGCAACCATGTTGTTTGTTCATAAAGGGAGATCGATAGATAAATGCCCGGATGAATACAAAAGGGGCAGATTTGTAACAGAAAGTGTCACAGTCGTGGCAGGGTATTATTGCCTTAAAGGTCAAGTGACTGGTTAGGCGGTATACCAAGAAGCTAAATTGGCCTTAAGAGTCGACACTTAACTATGTCGCCATCTGGTAGTTATATATGAGAGTTCTGGTTGTCCGGCTACAAGCGGCTACGCTTGAAACATTCATTACGTACCTCTTGGGGAGACAATGATCTGCTATTAACACAGCCTTTAATATTGTCGTTATCACGCCTCAAGATATGAAATACGATATTCGAATGTAGAATCGTTGTCATCTCTAGTTAATAAACACATTCAATACTTATGATTAATACTTGAAGGAAACACAACAACCTAATGCTACACGTTACACATGTATGATATCATCGATTGAAACCATCGACGCCTCTGTGTGTCCGCAAGCCCACATAGCAATTATTGCAACAGCTTGCGAAGCAAAATGAGTTGGGGTAAGATGCAGACACGCGCGACATGAAGGTACAGCATGGCGGATACTAAACCTCACCTGAAATCTCAAACCTCGGAAGAAACGAAAGAGAGTGACCTAAGTAAAGACACTCCTAGCAAATCGTCCCCCAAAGAAGACAGTTCCTTGTTGGATCCTACGAGGGAAATCAAGTCCTACAAACGCCGGTGGTATGTTCTTGGCGTCTTTGCCTATGCTGCCCTTCTTCAGGCAGTGGTATGGAACACTTTCGGACCTATTGCTCAATCCGCTAAGGCTGTGTTCGGGTGGACGGATGCTAATATAGCACTGTTTTACAATGGTGGGAATATTGGCTATATGTTTTTCATGATTCCCGTGGCTTGGCTGATGGACGTGAAAGGTATGTACCCGTCCTTATATTTTATTTGAGAATGGGTAAATGACACTAGCTGCTTGTTGATACAATTAAAATAAAGCTCTTTTATATTGCCCAAAAGGATAGAGTTGATTTTAGTTTATAAAATATAACGAGGCTTGATCAGATGTGTGAGAATTCTAAATAGATTATGGATTGTGATCTATGTACAGATGTTGGATATATTTTATGACTATGTTTTTTTCTAGAAGATTAACAAAAATATCATTTCTACTCGTAATTCAAATATCCATATGTCATTTTATCAATTTGAAAGAGGGATCAGTAACAGAATTGTAATATATTTATCTACACGCTAGATTAGTCTGATCATAAACTGTTGACTGAATTTAATGAAGTAAGTTTAGTAGATGTCTGGTATTTATTTTTGTACAGCTGCCTGTGAAATGATTTAATTTCAATTCTGTCTTTTGGGTAAATATTTGTAAAACTGTATCGAAAAAACAGCTTTGAGATACTCGGAAGTGGACATTGGTTTTTATTCTTGCAAGCAGCGTAGTATTTCCACAATACCACAGACCCGTGAAGATCCGGAGGAGAAATAGTTTGTTGTTGAATAATATAACAGGAAGAAACTGTCGTGGCAGCTCCACTCAAAGCCTCGTTTATACAGTTTCAAGTTTTCTTAAGTTTGTTTTTTTTAACGCCGCACTCAGAAATACTCCAGCTTGGCAGAACGAAAGGTCAGCTTGTCGTAAAAGGCTACGAACAGGATCGGGTGGTCAGGCTCGCTGACTTGGGTGATGCATATCATCGTATCCCAATTGCGTGGATCGATGCTCATGATGTCAATCAATGGATTGTCTGGTCCAGACTCGACAGCCGTCATAAAGCTGGAATATTACTTAGTGTAGTGTGGCGTTAAACAACAACCAACAAACCAACTACACTACCACAACGAAACAAACCTGCTAAGATTAATGTACCTGATAATGATTATTTAAAATTGTCTCACGCTCAGGCAGATATTGAACAGAAGAAACTATACGAACTATACTGTGCCCTGTTCCACAAACCGATCGCTTCGACTTTCATAAGTCAATGTTAGAGCATGGGAGTTACAGCAATCCTAACTAAGATCGCTTTGTGGAACGACACCTAGGTGTTATTAGAAGGTGTCATTTATATCCTTCGTAACCATCAGAAATTGACTCTCGTGGTATGTTATTCTTTCCATTTGTAGGCTTGAGGACATCGATGTTGGCGTGCGCTGTGCTGATGGTGGTGGCGACGTCAATAAGGTGCATCACGACTAAACCAGAGCCTGCAACATGGTCAGTATTAAACGTACAATGTGTTCATGTAAATTGTCGGAGCAAACATCAAGCATGTGTATCTCCTGTAAATATTTTATACATACGATTGTCCACTGAAGATGTGTTCATGTAAATTGTCGGAGCAAACATCAACATGTGTATCTTCTGTAACTATTTTTATACATACGATTGTCCACTGAAGATGTGTTCATGTAAATTGTCGGAGCAAACATCAAGCATGTGTATCTTCTGTAAATATTTTACTACATACAATTGTCCACTGAAGATGTGTTCATGTAAATTGTCGGAGCAAACATCAAGCATGTGTATCTTCTGTAAATACTAGTAATTATCTGTGGCATATAGATCAATAGACGAATTAAATGGCGTATGGAGATAACGTTGCACATAAACGTGATATGGAATCGAAGCTTGTGTAATATCGTATGTGACAGTTTGGCCTATATTAATAGAAAATAACGCATTTCAGCGGATGGCTTCAATAATGTAGCTGTATAATATAGAGTCATACCCAATTTGTTAATACAGATTAAATTGTGAGAGGACCAACTAAAAGCAGGTTACACAGATCGAGGTTAGAAAGTCAGCTGACCAAACTACGGCAAATATCTTTGATTTGACGGTATGGTAATGCATTATACTATCAAGGGAACCTTAAGTCATATTACGTTCAGGCGACTTTCTAAGATGCTAGAATACAGCAGAAATCCTTGATCAGCTAATCAAATTTATCTAAGAGTGAATAGAGTAAACTATGTTTATAACGAAGTGACGGATATAATGAACTGGTGTTTTGGGCCCGGCCATTTGCTGTATATATGATGTATATATGCCTATAACGATTATAACGAACTAAAATTATTATAACCGTACTTTACTGTACCTCCACGTTTAATGTTAGGATACCATGACTGTGCCCATTTTGGTCAATCAGAAGTTTCAAATCGCAATAATATTCATCCGAGGCTCATTCGTCTCTCTCAATCATGGTCAGAAGGCAGATTCAAATAGTGATATTAGTCAGTGTGGATACCGAAATGCCGGAATACAGTTTCAGGAATATTCATATGATTTCTGACAATGAGACTTGACGAAAACTGACGTATAAAATCTGGGGACACCAGAGGCCTTCAAATCTGGCACTTTCTTATCTTGGATTGCAGCTTTCGGGAAAGCTTCTTGTCAGGACAACATTTAGATGTTATTTCAATGGCCTGCATGTAATAAACATATTTAATATATACTATGGTTTTTGAAGACTTTAACCATAACTTTTCGTTTTTAACGACGGTCCATGGCTACTTCTTGCCCTTCAGCAAGTGAATGCTGATTAAGTTGAGTATATATGTACCATTCTGTGTTTGTGTGTGTGTGTGTGTATGTGAGTGTGTGTGTGTGCGTGCGTGCGTGCGTGTGTGTGTGCTTGCGTGCGTGCGTGCGTGCGTGCGTGCGTGCGTGCGTGCGTGTGTGTTGGTGTGTGTGTGTACGTGTGTGTTTGCGTGTGTGTGTTTGCGTGCGTGCGTGCGTGCAGGATTAATGTACCAAGATAACAATATGACGAGGAATCCTTTGGGTTTATACCATATTATAAACACAAAATGCCATTTAATTATGTGCCTTTCTATGGTAGTGAGGGTTCGAATACCGGATGGGACTCAACCCCCCAAAAGTACTGGGATCTGTACGTTATATCCTAAATATAACATTTGTTATACCATATTGTTGTTTACACTTTTACCAACTCTAAAGTACTATTAAAGTACATATTTTGGTTTGGTTATTTTGGGCAGGAAGATGTTCCCACACTTCACATCCAAAGAATTGGTAGAATAATTGCATCAAGTAGCTTAAGGGTTAAGGAGGTAAGCACCAAATGTCCCTGAAATGAGAAAAAAAGATATAACAGCTTTATTTGTCTGCGAGGTTACACAACGTTCAGCTTTGGTCCAATGGAGCCAAGGCGTGCAAACAATGCATAAATGACCCGTGAAGATCCGTGAAGATGCTTGTCGTAAAAGGCGATTAACGGAATCGGGTGGTCTAGCTCGTTGACTTGGTTGATGCATGCCATCGTATCCCAATTGCGTGGATCGATGCTCATGATGTCAATCACTGGATTGTCTGGTCCAGACTCGATTATTTACAGACCGACGTCATATAGCTGGAATATTGCTGAGTGCGGCGTTAAACAACAAACAACTAACCAACCAATGCATAAATACCTGTAGAATGAAACAATTTCCAACTGCTTACATTCAAAATACCATTTTCACAACTTTCTTAAGGAACCGAATGTCTAAAGTCCATGATCTAGCTTTATTAAGATTAATCCTCATACCTGCATCTATAATGCTGTGTCACCAAACATCATCCACAAACAACAAACATCCGCAAACAACAAACATCTGTAAACAACAAAGCATGAACATTATCTGCATGGTCACTAACATTAATACCTATTCAACCTTTAGTTTGTAAAACTGTAAGAAGCTTATTAATGAAGGTACTAGAAAGCTGTGGACCTAACATACAGCCTTGACGGATACCCAGATTACACTTAACTTTTGAAGAAAGGTCATATGCAGTTTTTATACATACTGTAAGTTAGAATACATTGAAACAATAACATACAATCTGTCAGTTCTGTCAAATAGAACTTGATGATGGACTGTATCGAGTGAGTGAGTATTGTTTTACGCCGCTTTTAGCAATAGTCCAGCAATATCACAGCGGGGGACACTAGAAATGGGTTTCACACAATGTACCCATGTCGGGAATCGAACCCGGGCCCTGGCGTCACGTGCGAACGCTTTAACCACTAGGTTATCCCGTCGCACCTACTGTATCGAACTCCTTGGCAACATCAATAAATACACAGTAGAATATATCTCTTTTCTTATATGCATATGTCTGCATGATAGCATTCATGGCGAAAATACGGTCAATTGTAATGAGGTACATGTTCAGTTCAATGTAGAGCCCCAATCGGATGGTCATACAGACAAACAGATGCCAATTTGGTTAATTTACAAGCAATACCGTGAGCAGCAATGTTAATGCGATGTTCCGGAAGGTCTGACTTTGTTCTGGTGTCTATGGGGCATTAAGTGTCTCCAATGTATTTGTCTCTCACAGTACCATGTCATCTTATACATACATGAGTAGGGCCTTCACCATTGGCATGTAGGATGTTTCTAAGTGTCTCGTAGGAGGTGAATGTCACATTATATTGGCTATCTTCTTCGAGAAACATGGTCAAATATACTTAATAAACATTCTTTGCTCTGGTTTATATATAATATAGGTTCCGGTATATATAGTTATGAGGTTCTGATATACTTTAAACTCTCAATATGTATTCTCTAAATTCTGGTGAATATATACTCTAGGTTCTTGTCTTCTTTAATCAGGGTTTTTGTAAGGAGCCATCACGAAGTTAATTATAGAAATATAAACACGATAGCTTTCACGTGTAATTTGATTTTAAGCACCAACCTTAAAACATTTTTCGTTGCTAAAATGTAAAAATTTGTTATGGGAAAATAGTACATATACGCAGCTGGTCACCCGAGAAGATCCGGGATAGTATAGGTCTTCAATAACCCATGATTGCTGTAAAAGGCGACTGTTCTTGTCGTAAGAGGCGACTAACGGGATCGGGTGGTCAGGCTCACTGACTTGGTTGATGCATGTCATCGTATCCCACTTGCGTAGACCGATACTCATGATGTCAGTTACTGGATTGTCTGGTCCAGATTATTTACAGACCGCCGTCAAATACGTGGTATATTGCTGAGTGCGGCGTCAAACAATAAACAAAAAATGTAGTAGGTGATCAGGCCATTGCGTCCCAAACATCGTATGACAAAATGCAAATAACAATGGAAATACATGTAGTTACCATGATGGGCTTATTTTTCACATTGATGAATGCTGGTAATATCAGATCCATTGTCGAGAACCAGTCTTGCATTCAAGGGTATATTAAATCGTTTTTAGTTATCAATACATACATCTATTTGCAGGCAAATTCCGCCTGTGTTTATGCACATAGTTATATCTGTATAATAACAGCAAGGAAAACTGAATTTATATGCTCAGTTTACTTTCCATTTATATTTTTTTCGTTGGAGGCAAACAGAATGTAATGTAAACAATCGTCAAACAGAAGCAACAACATGTGTCGCCCCAGCACAATAATCAGTAGGTGTGATATAGACGAGCGCCGGCTGTCATCACCGCGTGAGGCTTATCTCTATAGCTCTAAAAAAAAAGTTGTTTTTAAATAATTATCCTTGTAAAATAAAGCTATAATATTAAAAAATATCAATAATTGTTACTACCTGCACCTAAAAGACCGTACCGAAATATGAAGCGGGGTGTGAATAGAATTGGCCCAGGGGTCGTGACGAGGTTGAGCGAACGTGGGTACTCGGTGCATCTGTGACATACCGTAGTATTGACGCTGAAACCCATGCAAATAATGGATTTGTGTGTTATTGAAAGGTTCACGATCTTCTGCAATCTGACCTAAATACATATGAAACGATTATGCTATGCAAAAGCCTAACAAAATCCCGAAAATGTTTGAAAAAAAACATTTCTCCATTAACGAGCTTCTGCAATCTGATATAAATACATATGACACGATTCAAAAATACTTTCTACGCCCAAAACAAGTGGTTTACGGCATGTTCTTCATATGCTGAAAAATAATGTGTTGTGGGCAAAAAGACTTGGAGTGAGCGTCATGAAAATATTGTATGATTTGAATTACTGACTGAAAATATTCTGTGTGATACAAAACCAGCCCCAGCCTCCCACCACCCATAACCAACGCCTCCTCCACCTTCCCTGACCCCCACCTCCCACCTCCCCTCATCTTTATTGAACACCTCAACAATATTAGACAGTATGACTATATGCTACAGTTTTAGATGTGTATATTTCTATGTAATGTATTAATGTGTTCGGTATGTTCTTCAATATATTTGAATCTTCTTCTCAGGTTGATAAACATCGCAGCTGTTGTGAATGGCGTGGCTGGCACTGTGCCATTCGCCGGCCCCGCCCTCCTCTCTGCCACGTGGTTTCCCCCAAAACAGAGGGCCACTGCTACAGCCGTGTCAACTGTCTTCTTCTATTTGGGCATGTCTATCGGCTTCATTATTGGTGAGTTGGAATTACACGGTCCACAAAGCGATCTTAGCGCTGAGGTGATCGTAACTCCCATACTTTTACATTGGCTTACAACAGTCGTAGCGCTGAGGTGATCGTAACTCCCATACTTTAACCTAGGCTTACAACAGTCGCAGCGCTAAGGTGATCGTAACTCCCATACTTTAACATAGGCTTACAACAGTCGTAGCGCTGGGGTGATTGTAACTCCCATACTTTAACATAGGCTTACAACAGTCGTAGCGCTAAGGTGATTGTAACTCCCATACCTTAACACAGGCTTACAACAGTCGTAGCGCTAAGGTGATTGTATCTCCCATACCTTAACACAGGCTTACGGACCCGTGATGATCCGGGGTAGAATAGGTCTTCAGCGACCAATTCTTGTCGTAAGAGGCGACTAACGGGATCGGGTTGATGCATGTCATCGTATCCCAATTGCAAAGATCGATGCTCATGATGTCAATCACTGGATTGTCTGGTCAAGACTCGATTATTTACAGACCGCCGTCATATAGCCGGAATATTACTGAGTGCTGCGTTAAACAACAAACAAACAAAACATAAGCTTACGACAGTCGAAGCGCGAAGATTGCTTTGTAGAGCGGTCGTTTGTCAGGAACCTCTGTTCAGCGGGACACAGAAAGTCCCATGTTACCTGCACAAACGTACCTGTCAACTACCAACAGAACGTCGTCTCCGTAGATAATTAACCTTAACGGATCATGCTCACAGAAGCTTTTATAATACAATGCCGGGCAAAAGAAAGTATACGCCTATGATTAGTGGCTAAAAATGAATCAAACTGGTTATCCGATGGTGATGTATTTGATACGAGTATCATAGATGTGTTTAGCATCTGATGTTTGTGGTGGTTCAGCGATTGTTTTCGGCCTAGTGACGTTTTAATAACGTTTGTATTTTTCGGGGCAAACCCAAGCTTATACCTCTGCCCGTCGGCTTATATCATCTGATGTTAGATGCACGTACTCTTATGTACCGGCCGTGAAGCCTGATGCTAGGCTCCAAGGTTACAGCCATTGGCATTGTGTAGCCTCGACACCACTCTAGTCCCTCCGGGTAGCACGGGTGTCCAAGTCGTCTAAGGCGCCGCGATTCGCTGTGCAGAGTTGCGTCCTTTGGGCACGCCAGAAACCTATGATTGTGGGTTCGAATCCCGGTTCGCCCTGCTTCTGTTTCTAGGTTTGTCAGCACCATACCCGTGCTCGTGGGTTTCACCGAAGTGGTAAACGTCTGAGACCTGCATCACTTCGGGCTTTCCTCCCACATTAAGCTGACACGCCGTGATATAACTGGAATACTGTTAAAAGCGGCGTTAAACCCAACTCAGACACTCACTCACTCGAGTCCCTCCGTTTGTCACTTTCCTGTCAGAAGCCGTTGGTTTTGGATGTGACTTCCAGATTAATATGTCCGTGTTATCTCGATTATATATCCGTGTTATCCCGATTATATATCCGTGTTATCCCGATAGTATATCCGTGTTATCCCGATGATATATTCGTGTTATCCCGATAATATATTTGTGTTATCCCGATAATATATTCGTGTTATCCCGATAATATATCCGTGTTATCTCGATTATATATCCGTGTTATCCCGATAATATATCCGTGTTATCCCGATTATATATTCGTGTTATCCCGATAATATATTTGTGTTATACCGATGATATATCTGTGTTATCCCGATAATATATTTGTGTTATCTCGATTATATATCCTTGTTATCTTGATAATATATTCGTGTTATCCCGATATATATATATTCGTGTTATCCCGATGATATATCCGTGTTATCTCGGTGATATATTCGTATTATTCCGATGATATATGCTTGTTATCTCGATAATATAATCATGTTATCCCGATATTATATTTGTGTTATCCCGATTATATATCCGTGTGATCTCGATGATATATTCGTATTATCCCGATGATATATCTGTGTTATCCCGATTATATATCCGTATTGTCCCAATGATATATTCGTGTTATCCCGATATTATCTCCATGTTTTTCCGATGATATATCCGTATTGTCCCGATGATATATACGTGTTATCCCGATGATATATCCGTGTTCGTTGGACTAAACCTCTACTGCAGACGTCACTTTGAGCTATCCTCTCACGTGAAGCTGACGGGCGTTATAGTGAGAAAATACTGGACAAAGAGACTTCATGGTCCCACTTTCCCACATACCCTCCTCCAATATGCAGTCTATCTCTGGTTTCAAGCTGCCACGACCCGTGATGATCCGGGTAGAATAGGTCTTCTGCAACCCATGATTTCCGTAAAAGGTGACTGTGCTTGCCGTAAAAGGTGACTAACAGGATCGGGAGGTCAGGCTCGCTGACTTGGTTGATGCATGTCATCGTATCCCAATTGCATGGATCGATGTTCATGATGTCAATCACTGGATTGTCTTGTCTCGACTCGATTATTTACAGACCGCTGTCATACAGCTGGAATATTGCTGAGTGCGGCGTTATTCAACAAACAATCAATCAATCAAATCAAATCAAATCAAGTTGCTACAGTTGTTGTTCATAAACAGTTACTACTTTTGTTGATTAAAGACATATTTAGGTTGATGTCATATATATTCAGCAGTCAAATCTGTAATACCCGAAATGTTCTGCTCCTCGCATGTCTACACTATTTCCTATGTGACGAGGGGCGGTCGGGTAGCCAAGCGGTTAAAGCGTACGCTCGTCAGGCCTAAGACCCGGGTTCGAATCCCGAAATTGGTACAATGTGTGTAGCCCATTTCTGGTGTCCCCCGCAGTGATATTGCTGGAATATTGCTAAAATGGATGTAAAACCAAACCCACTCAATCACTCCTATGTGACGAAGAGTGTTAACTCACCGAGATTAAGACTCACACAGGAAGATGTATCTAGCGATCTCAAGCAGCCCATGATGGAGGTAAATGAGGGTCGGATGGTCACCGTGACTGTGACCTGGATTGAGGTCATCGTACCCGTCGCGGGACTTGATGCATGCTGTGAATCAGTGGGTTGCCTGGACAATGTTCCAATATGAACAGCTGTTCTATGGCGCCTTTTGGTCTGACTGCGGTAAAAACAACCTTCACTTACTAATTCTCGTCGATGCATCGGGGATGCGTTACCTTGCATCTGACTGTATTACCTCCATGGAGATCCGAGTTAGAACTGATCTTCGGCAACCCATGCTTGTCGTAAGAGGCTCGCTGACTTGGTTGATGTATGTCATTGGTCCCATTTGAGTAGATCGATGCTCATGATATCAATCACTTAATTATCTGGTACAGATTCGAATACTTACAGGCAGCCGTCATATAGCTGTAATATTGCTGAGTACTACAAACAAACAAACTGTATTACATGTAATTAATTTTATTCCTATCCGATGATTAGATTTCCATCTATTGATTGCAGGCCCCCTTTTGGTGCCAGAACCAGGCGGTTCGTTCTTGAGTGTGGACCAAATGATTCCTCTGAAGTAAGATATATTCGTTTGTGTTTGTATGTCTCGTGATAGTGTCTGACAGTATATTGACTGTTATGTATATAAACATTGTGTTTTAAAACACTCGCAAATCTGAAAACACGATGTTTAACGCCAAATATTCTTTTTAAATTGAAGTTTACACGATATACAGCTTTTCATTTGGACGAGAGGTCGTCCACCTGACCGAAAATTGACGTTTATTTAAGAATTGACTTTCACTTTGTGTGAGTTCAATGGAGTATGAACCGTTATAGAGTGAGGACCAAACTGTATGAACGTCGGACCTTGTTCTTGAAATGACGTAAACACTGACGGACTACTTCCACATCCCTTGTGAAACCCCTAGGAATTCCCCAGCACGAATACATACAGAAGCGTTTATTTGTATCATTTAGACCCTTTAAACTTGAACTCAGCGTTTTAGGATACATTGAAAAATGTCAGAAAGTTTGACTGCACTATCGTTCACGAATATCCTCGCTACGACCCATCCTAGTGAACAGAACGAAGAAATGTACATCCAAACTATGTATCGACTCGATCCGTGTCTTGGCTGACAATGACAGTCTGCAGCAATCTATGAATTTACCTTAGTGTCTATTTGACACATCTTTAATCACCTTTCAATGATCGGCCAATTGATCAATGATGACTAAAACAAGTAACTGACATAGGTGGATTTGCAACTTCCGAAATCTCTCTCGTCACGTTTATTGTGTCGGCCATATTGACGTCTTGTACTTGATGTAAACGTATTACGACGCGCTGTCATTGTGACTGTCTTACTGAGGTAGTTCTTAACAGAACTTTCTCATCGTATGGTGATATTATTTGAATACATGTGTTGCGTATTTAGCAAGTTGTGCATCCATACGCTCATGTCACCTCTCTTATTGAGGAACTATTTTATTCCACGATATAGCTGGTTGTTGTATGGCTGTCAGTGGAAACATGAAGTCACACCTTCGAAATAAAATTGTGTATAGATCTTGGCCTACATCTTGCGTATAGATCTTGGAGTGAGGGACAAACATTGTATGTACGTCGTCGCAAGGTCCGACGTTCATACAATTTGGCCCTCACTCTATGAAGGTTCATACTCCAATGAGCTCACACAAAGTGAAAGTCAATTAAGCAAACTACAAACGTTTTCATTAATACTGTTAACACTAAACTAAATCGAAGTTGTTCTTATAACTATTGATACTTCTTCATAGTCATGCCGAATGGCATAGATTTATCTATTTCCTTTCAAACTTGGGATTGAGAAAAAGAACAACTCAACTTTTCAACGAAAGTATTCATACGCAGTGAAAACTGAGAATCTTTTTACCTGGATCCAATGCCATTTACAATGTTTTCATCCAATCAGACGACCATAACCTAAAACTTAAGTTTGATATGACGTTCATTCACTTGGCTACAGCACATCTCTCCAAAACGATGAAGCAGCCTACATCCACCCTTCAGCCACTGACATCACAGCGGAGAGAGACGGTATCATGAAGCTCATGTATGTAGGTGCGTATACACTCGGAGCACTGAGTCTGGGATACCTTGTATGTATGAAGCTAGGGACAGTGAACAGTTTTGATCCCAAATTGATATTTTGTCGGTTTGCCCTGCATGTATCGTTGCCTGTTTTTTGTGCCCCGTTCTAGACGCCCAACTACCCCGCGAGCACCTCACGCCGAAGGGAGTGCACCTCTTACAAGATTATATGAGGATCGGTGGTCACAACGCGTGCCTGTATGAAGGTGATGTGTCACCAACAGGAAAATCGAAATCCCAGCTGTGACCACACTGATGATGTATCATCGTGTCCCAAGTCCTGGATCGTTGACACGCTATTGATCCCTGATTTGTATGATATAGTCATGGCTGCTCTGCTGATCGCTATTCACTGGGCAGATACTACTGGTCAGTTGGCGTTCCCTTCCGTTCACTTTCATCCATCGCATGGCTGCATCCGACGTGAATGTCGATATATCACTCTGTGTGTGCTTCATGTAGGTGTCCCTTCAATGTCCTTCTTTCTATGTCCCTTCTATGTCCGAGTCTCCAGCAAGTTCTAGGTGTACTGCCATACATTGGTTAGCAGCCCCCCCCCCCCCCCCCCCCCCCCACACACACACACACACCGACCCCCGAGGTCTCCAGCAAGTTCTACAGAGTAGGTGTACTGCCATACATTGGTTAGCAGGACCCCCCCCACACACACACACACACACACCGACCCCCGAGTCTCCAGCAAGTTCTACAGTGTAGGTGCACTGTCATAAATTGGTTAGCAGGACTCCCCCGAGTCTCCAGCAAGTTCTACAGTGTAGGTGCACTGTCATACATTGGTTAGCAGGACTCACCACAGGCTCTACAGTATAGGTGTACTAGGATCAGGTGGTTAGCGGGACTCTCATTACACAAAAGTACCGATTTTTTTACATCCTGTGAAGATCCGGGGTAGAACAGTTCTTCAGCCATGCTTGCCGTAAAAGACGACTAACGGGATCGGGTGGTCAGGCTCGCTGACTTGGTTGATACATGTCATCGATCCAAATTGCGTGGATCGATGCTCATGATGTCAATCACTGGATTGTCTGGTCCAGACTTGATTATTTACAGACCGCCGTCACACCGCTGGAATATTGCTGAGTGCGGCGTTAAACAACAAATAAACAAACAAACATAAGTACTATTCGCGAACCAAAGCCATATTGTGGCAAATTCCAATCTGACCCAATAAGAGATAAGATTTCTCACCCCCTGTCATACCTACAGAGTAAGACGCACTTACTCACTGCTTTTACCTTCAGAATGTGCGGCTTGTGTGCTGTTGCTGCTCCTGGTGGTGGTGTACTTCCCCGCCAAGCCCCCCTCTCCCCCCAGCCTCACAGCGTCCATGGAGAGGACAAACTACCTCCAGGGACTAAAGGGGCTTTGCACGTAAGATGATGTTTTCACTGCTTTGAATTAAATGATGGATCGAGATTGATTTTCACCAATGTTTTGTGTCTCACATGTTATTAATATTTTAAAAGCCAAATGAGGCAAGTATAGCGCTGCTTTGTACGAAGACGTCAGCAGTTGAACTGTAGGGACATCCAATTAATAGACCGAACGATATTCAGAAGAATACCCCGATACTCATGAGTGCAAGAGTGAATGAGTTGGGTTTTACGCCGCTTTTAACAGTGTTACAGTTTTATCACGGCGTGTCAGCTTAATATGGGAGGAAAACCCGAAGTGATGCAGGTTTCAGACGTTTACCACTTTGGTGAAACCCACGAGCATGGGCATGGTGCTGACAAACCAAGAAACACAATCAGGGCGATCCGGGATTCGAACCCACAATTATAGGTTTCTGGAGTGCCCTAGGGACGCCGCTCTGCACAGCAAATCGCGGCGCTTGAGACGACTGGGCCACCCGTGCCCCCCGTAACGCAGGAAGTCCTAAGAATCGGTCTGCGTAAGAAATCGTATACTACCGATAGAGAACGAAATAGCGTCGTGGAGCTTGAGGGATTTATATATAATTCCGCTGCGATCACTGTCTCTTGTAAATGAAGGAGAATCGTATGTTTAAAGTAGATTTTAGCGTTATTTACGGTCATAATTATTTTTAATAATAATGATAATTGATGAAATATTTATGAGATTAGATGACATAGTTCTTAACCAGAATGATCACGCAATGACCATACTAAACAAACGCACATATTTGGATTCCAGACACAGACGGTTCCTGTTGATTCTCGTCGCCTACAGTGTACCAGCAGGAGTCTACAATGTCTTTGTCGCAGTCCTTGACGTCAACCTCAACGGCTTAGGAATAACGCAGGTAGATATCGACCCACTTAGTGTATGAGTTGCTAAACCTGAATGGAAAAAAATTATTATTATCAATATGTTTTACAGATTAAAATAAAAATGCAGGAAAGGGAGCGCGTGTGATCCTGGCACTGTCAGGCTGGTTGGGCTTATCATTAGCTCAGGACCATTGTCCCCTCTACACACACACGCAGCCCAGACAACGAATAGGACTTCTCCCAGAAAGCGCTGCCTAGTCAATCCCACCCAGAACTTACCGGAGAATATGAAGGCCTAAAATAGGTCATTTGGGGATATAAACAACCAATATCTGTCAGATTTTCAATTCACACCCCAAATCACTTGATTGAGTTCCCTTACGGCCTGGTGGTAAACATTTTACGTGCGAATCATATAGGTGTCAAATCCCAATGAATACTTGTTTCACGACGGAAACTGATTTATGAAATCCTTTAAATACGTTCAGCTTTAGCTTTAGGTATCTGGGCCCAATGAGATATGCCGTTACGTTATGTTGGCATATTTTTCAACCCAATTTTCTACACTATTCTGCGTTTTGCCAACCAGACATTATTGCACATAAGTACTTGTGGCGACAGTCGTGTTCCAATATGCATGCTGATGTACCTGCCCCTGATACGTTTCACAACAGCGCATCAGCGTTCAGCCGGTTTCAAAGTAACCGCTGTATAGTGTATAATATGCCGCATCTAACATCATACCTTACTTTTTCAGAATCATGCCGGTTGGATTGGGTTCTATGCCACGATTGGTGGTTGTTTTGCGGCGCTAATTATGTCCAGGTACACTCCAAACTTTTTCCAGGCGCAACCGTGATAAAAAAACAAATATGTCCAGGTTAACACGAGCCCAGTAACATGCTTATATCCAAGTTCATTCTCTTTAACTGCGATACTGAAAAAAACACCCGTAAATCTGAAAAGCGAAATCTATATCTTCACATTAACACATAAACGTCTCATTCACAACAGACAAGGAATCTTCCAGAGGCAAGGGTTTTAAATGACTTTAAAAGTCTAGTTTGGTGGTGACGAGACATGAAATGGGGTTTTAACGTCGCTTTCAAGATTATTGCACATATATAGCAACGTGCATGCACATGTGTGTCTGTGTGTGTGGCTGCCTGTAGTAGTCCGGACTGATGCCCCACTGAGATACCATGCCGCAGTTTAACATGAATACCCCACTCAGACACAGCATAGTGACTCCGAGCCGTCCTTGTTTTAGCCCCTTAATACCGAGCGCAACTCAGGGTAACAACAAGTACCATCTTTTAACGCGGCTGGGGATCGAACCCCGAACCTTCCGCTCTACCACTAGACCATGGAGGCGGTCTCTAGTTTGGAAACAAACTGGTCTTTTATAGTCCGTTAACTCCTTTGCATCGAGACTGGCCTAGTCATCAAAGGCGCAGAATTCGCTGTTTTGAGTTGCCTCTCATAAGAGTGCCATAAAACTATAATCGTGGGTTCTAATCCTATATACCCCCACTTCTAGGATTGTCAGCATCCTAGCCGTGCATGACGTCGGGTTTTCCTCCTGAAGTATGCCAATATGCCGTGATGTAACTGGATTACTGTTTAAATCGGCTTTAAACCTAACTCACTCACTCACTCACTCACTCACTCACTCACTCACTCACTCACTCCAGGATCGCCGACTTGCTGGTGTACCACATGAAGTGTCTGTTGCTGATCCTCTTTCTGCTGGCTGCAGCATCCACAGTCTGGTTCGTCCTGCTGCGTCTGTCCTACCTCCCCTTCACTATGTGTAAGTTCGCCTTCAGCCCACCATGACAATCAGATTGAAATTTGTCAAAAAAGTGTATCTTGTAAGGCTTGTCGAATCTAAATTATAAATTTACTGAAGACATTCTATTTTTTTGCTATCAGTTAGTAATGAGATATTTCTTCCACCAGTGTACATTTACACATCGTCTATACTGGTTGGAGTGTTCATCAATGGTTCTATACCGCTGTTCTACGAGCTGGGCTGTGAGGCGTCCTACCCTATAGCTGAGGGGGTGACGGCCGGAATGCTCACCCTCATGTACAACTTGGCCGGAATCATCTTCCTGTCAGCCCTCATGATACCTAACATAGGTAAGCAACTCACTGAGTCCATTTACAATAAGCACCATACCCGTGCTCGTGGGTTTCACCGAACTGGCACACGTCTGAGACCTGCATCACTTCGGGCTTTCCTCTCACATTAAGCTGACACGCCATGAAATAACTGGAATACTGTTAAAAGCGGCGTTAAACCCAACTCACTCACTCACTCATTTACAATACACTGTTTCAATAACATACTGTTAAATATTCATATGATGAATGCCCACTTGTTAAATGCTAAAGGAAATTCTTTAACTGACTAAGTTACATGACCAAATTTATATTTTGCGACATGATATCACAGGCTCTCAGTAACAGAAGATACCCTTTCGCTTTGCATGTGGGCATTTTGTTCTTCTGGTTCGGTATGTGAACGCATATTTATCACCAAAATATAATTTCTCTATTTCCAGCTTCATAGATATAGCTACATCTTACACTAAACAATAAAAATATTGATAATATGTCCTTATATGATAATTTGGGTCATGCTTCATCATAGAATTTATTATTCCATATTTCAGGTGTCATCTGGATGAACTGGTGTCTACTGGGGACGGTCATTTTCGCCATACCACTACTTCTAGTCTTCAGGGCTCATTATCCACGGACCAACATCGACACAAAGGATATACGAGAACCATTACCCAATAGCAATGAACCAAAGACAGGCAGCACGGAAGCTAGGTGATGGACAGATGCCGTCCTTCATTGGATAGTCATACATGGAGGAATACAGCTGTCGTTTAGTTTCCGCTGTCCTGCGCAAAGTGAACGTGTTTATAAGAAAAGAAAGAACAATCCGATACATATCAATTTATTCCTATTTTATTAAGCTGACTGTGATTAACATTGTGTGATATTGTACATGGCATTACTTATATTTAAGATCCCCTATTACCTCAGTAATACAAAGTAGGGCGAGTGCACTAGTGTTGACAACTCAAGACATGACCACTCTGGAAGACGTGTCTTCCTGGTAGACAGTCATATAGAACATGCTGTGAGACAAGGTGGACCACCACACGCACACAGTCGTGATGCGGCAATACTACACTGGAGCGCCAAGTCAAGGGGACAACAGTACTAGTATAGAGTAATCTCATGTTCACGTCTATGTGCCATCACTGTGTAAAAATGTATATACGTATATCATTGTACTAATTCTTGAAAATACAGGCTTATGTTTACACCCTGTTCCCGTGGTGAAATGATTCAGGCTAGTGTTTACACCATGTTCCTGTGAGGATATTATTCAGGCTAGTGTTTACACCATGTTCCCATGGTGACATTATTCAGGCTAGTGTTTGCACCATGTTCCTGTGAGGATATTATTCAGGCTAGTGTTTACACCATGTTCCTGTGAGGATATTATTTAGGCTAGTGTTTACACCATGTACCTATGGTGAAAGGATTCAGGCTAGTACTTCCATCGGTTCCCATGGTGACATGATTCAGGCTAGTACTTCCATCGGTTCCCGTGGTGACATGATTCAGGCTAGTACTTCCATCGGTTCCCATGGTGACATGATTCAGGCTAGTGTTCAGACTCGTATTGACACAACATTGCTCTGTCGAGAACATTCAAGGTAGTGTTTGCACCACGTTGCTCTGTCGGGAACATTCAGGGTAGTATTTGCAGTACATTCCTCTGACGGGAACATTCGGGTAATTTGTGCACCACGTTGCTCTGACGGGAACATTCAGGGTAGTGTTTGCTCTACGTCCCTCTGACGGGAACATTCAGGGTAGTGTTTGCTCTACCTCCCTCTGTCGGGAACATTCAGGGTAGTGTTTGCTCTACCTCCCTCTGTCGGGAACATTCAGGGTAGTGTTTGCTCTACCTCCCTCTGTCGGGAACATTCAGGGTAGTGTTTGCTCTACCTCCCTCTGACGGGAACATTCAGGGTAGTGTTTGCACTACGTTTCTTTGTTACCGTGGAACTGGGTGTCACTGTCATGGAAGAGGACGGAACGCCGATGATGAACGCATGATGAAAGATATTGTGCCACGATTTGTAACTGAGAGTCCTTGAAAATATTACAACCATTCTCCACTGATCACTTCTTCAATATACATATAGCATATTGCTTATCAAATAGCTCACTATCGGAGATAATATACTCATATAATATCAATTTTAAATGTATCATATATTATTTTATGTATCAAAATATCTTTTTTTTTGTTTAAGCAGATACCTATAGTAGTGTATATAAATATATCATTGTACTCATTCTTGATAATACAGGCTTATGTTTACACCCCGTTCCCACTGTGGAATGATTCATGCTAGTACGTGCAGCGTGTTCCCGTGATGAAATGATTCAGGCAAGTGTTTACACCCAGGTCCTGAGGTGAAATGATTCAGGCTAGTATTTACACAACATTGCTCTGCCAGGAACATTCAGGGTAGTATTTGCATTACATTCCTCTGCCAGGAACATTCAGGGTAGTATTTGCATTACATTCCTCTGCCAGGAACATTCAGGGTAGTATTTGCACCACGTTGCTCTGACGGGAACATTCAGGGTAGTGTTTGCATTACATTCCTCTGACGGGAACATTCAGGGTAGTATTTGCACCACGTTGCTCTGACGGGAACATTCAGGTTTGTATTTGCATTACATTCATCTGACGGGAACATTTAGCGTAGAATTTGCACTACGTTTCTCTAACGATAACATTCAGGGTAGTGTTTGCTCTACCTCCCTCTGACGGGAACACTAAGGGGAGTGTTTGCACTACGTTTCTATGTTACCATCGTCAAGGGAGAGGACCGAAAGCCGATGATGAACGCATGATGAAAGATATAGTGCTACGTTTGGTTACTGAGAGTCCTTGAAAATTGTACAGCCTGTCTCCACTGATCACTTCTTGAACAGCATATTGCTTATCAAACAGCTTACTACCGTCTATATAGGGGCGGTCAGGTAGCCTAGTGGTTAAAGCGTTCGCTCGTCACGCCGAAGACCCGGGTTCGATTCCCGACATGGGTACAATGTGTGAAGCCCATTTCTGGTGTCCCCCGCGGTGATATTGCTGGAATATTGCTAAAAGCGGCGTAAAACCATATTCACTCACTCACTCACTACTACCGTATATTATGAAGCAATACAATATCATTTTTAAACGTTCAATGAGGAATATATTTAGCTAATACCTGTAATATTTGTTTATGTATCAAAATATATTTTATTTATTTAAGCAGATATCTGCTTCTAATGTAATATAAGTATTATTACGGATCGGAATAAATAAAAGAGCGGATAAAACCCCAAAGATCCAAATTATTATTCGTGTATTGCTTTGGATACTATAAAATCTGTTCAGGATATATTCCACTCATATCTTATCAGTATACTCCTGTGAAGATCCGGGTCGGAATAGGTCTTCAGCAACCCATGATTGCTGTAAAATGTGACTGTGCTTGTCTTAAGAGGCCACCAACGGGGTCGGGTGGTAAGGCTCGCTGACTTGGTTGATGCATGTCATTGTAACCCAGTTGCATAGACCGATGCCCATGATGTGAATTACTGGATTGTCTGTAAAAGGCGACCACGCTAAAATCATTCAGACAAATGCTCCCGTTCAGCATACAAGTTGCGGTCGATCTCAAAATCTATCACCTGCGGTCCATAGGCGTTAGTTGTATTCTCGTCCCGTGACGATCCGGGTTAGAACTGGTCTTCAGCATCACACGATTGTCTTCAGAGGCGACTAACGGGATCGGATGGTCAGGCTCGCTGTATTATGCATGTCATCGGATTCCAACTGTGTGGATCGATGCCCATGATGTCAATCACTGGATTGTCATGTCCAGTCTCGATTATTTACGGACCGCCGTCATATAGCTGTAATATTGCTGAGTGCTGCGTTAAACAACAAAGAACCAAACAAAATCTTATCATTATAACGAATCAGCTCGTAGTATCTCGCTCGTAAACTAAAATAGCCCATTCAAAATGAATGTTATTATCTAATAAACGCATAATAACTGGTGCCACTGTATTGCATGATGTAATGTGTCTAACATTTTGTTAGCGAAGAGATGAAACTATGACACAATCGCATATTGCACTATATGTAAGTGAGTTGGTGAGTATGGTTTTACACCGCTCTTAGCAATATTCCAGCAATATCACAGCGGGGGACACCAGATATGGGCTTCACACATTGTACCCGACTGCCCAACAACTATATGCGATCATAGCGTGCACATAAATGGTGAACGAAAAGTTTGTATATTAAAGCAGGCAAAGTGTTTTTTGGCTGAACGTCTAAACTCAGGTAACCTCACTTACACTTACTTACGAAATGTTACTAGTCTTAAAAGCTTCTTGAGGAGGACATTTTTAAATTTGATGCATCATTGACAAAAAAAAGATGGCCGATGCAAGTAACTATTTTGACTTGTGACATGTTCCCATCTATTTGCTGGCGAACAATTGCCTTGCCCTTGCATGTGTTTGCGACGGGTGTCACCGGTGGGACAGTAACGTAATACGCTCATCTTTTCGTAAACACCTGGTATCATAACTATTTGATAGTGATTGGTAAATGCATGCTCATGATATAGTCGGACTTAGCAATAAACAATGGAAGCCAACTCTTGACAGTTATTCAAAGAAAACAGTCCACTGGGCAGATAGGTCCCTGATTATTGTCTGTGCTAATTATCCAGCTGGCTTCTATTTGTCCATTCTATTACCAATCCGTGCTATTTACCCATCCCTCCCGTTTTCCATTGTCCATTACCTATTACCAATCGCTGATAATTTTAAGTCTTTGCTTCCATTTGTCCATCACTATCACCTATCAGCGTAAATTAACTGTTAAGTGTTGGCTTCCATTTGACCATAGCTAATCACCTATCAGCGCCAATGTTGGCTTTCTGGTAAAGTTTCCACCTTTGTTGTGTTATTACCTTCGTTATTACAGGTACATATATATGTTATCTGCTTCATAGCATTTATTCACCTGATGAAGGAGTAAGTATATACTCCGAAACGTTGTTTTGTTCAAAATAAAGAAGTTGACATCCATAAATTCTCTTCCGTATGTGTATCACAGCTTAATGCTGTGTCTTACCCGAAATCTTGACCCTGTCAGTGTGAAGTTTGAAAGTTTATATATTATTATATTGAAATTGATATTTCGTAGGATCATTATATTAGCCCACAGCAAAGACTGAATGTAAATAGGTTTTGCTGGCCGATGGAAGCCTGCTTAACACAAGAACACCGTTCCATAACCTGCAAGAAGACTCGTCCCCCTATCGATGAATTTTATGCGCAAATATACGACAAACCAAACGGAATGCGCGTATGACTTCAAGTACTTCGGTCACGGAATCCTTAAGGATAATGTTTGATGTTACATATGTACCCCAAACTATACCCAAGACACGGTTGAATGTGTTCAATCATACTGTATAATACTGTATAATAAGTCCCGATGTGTTTTCAATTGCATCTGGGATACATATGACACATGGGAGAAATATACGTGAATCATAACGCACCCAGTCGCAAGATTGGCCACAATAGGGGTACGAGTCGCCATTCTGCTTGTCCCGAAATAACACGAGTTGGTCACGAATGCTGGCAGGGGGTGGGAGTCACATCTTAATAGGACGTTAGTCACCGAAGAGGAAAGCGATCCGTCACGCTTGAGTCACACGTCCATGAAACACATGGGAATTTACTTTTAAGTTGCAGCCTAGGTATGAACTGGAAGCGAACTCTGTGAAGCGAAGTGTTAATAAGTAGACTGGTGTACCACATCTCAGTAGTGTGTTTCACAGATATACAATACTCGGTATGTGGTGGGAATAACAGAATCTCCACGTGTGAAATCAGGGAAATCATTCGTGACCATGTTCTGTCATCCAGTGGTAGCGATCGACGATGACCGTTTGACCCCTGGTCGTTGTTGCGTGGAGTCCTGCTGACCCCCTGCCCACCCGGCCGGTCAGACATGTTCATTATTTAGTTGTGTGAGAGGTCGTGAGCTTCAGCGCCATGTTTGACTGCTTTGACAACGTCCGAATAAAAAGTTGAATATTCTGGAAGGGGCTTCTCGTACGCAAATTGGATGAGGTAAATGACTGTGTTTACCTATTACACTGAATAGCTAGCTTGGACACTCAATAGATGCTCCCGATTCAAGCCGCATGAGAAGACAGACAGATTGGTATTCATAACCAGTTCTGTTAAGCAAAATGGAGGACGTGGAATATGTTGATGGCCATCTACCCCCCTCAGAAGAAAACAGGGTACGCAGAGCACATAAAATCTCCAACGCATCCCCGAAGGCATTAGATGAAGACACTCCTTTGTTGGACTACAGGGGGAGCATTAAGTCCTACAAGAGCCGGTGGTATGTTCTGGTGGTGTTCTCGTATGCGGCTCTACTTCAGACAGGATCGTGGAACACTTTCGGACCTATTGCTCAGTCAGCTAAGGCTGTGTTCGGGTGGACGGATGCCAATATAGGCATGTTGAACAACTGGGGGAATATTATGAACGTTGTGTTCATGTTTCCGATGGCCTGGTTGTTGGATGTCAAAGGTAGGGATCTGTACTTGATGTAACACGTGTTTGAAAAATTTATGTCGTACACGCTTATATTCACTGGAATTTATGCCATTACGAATGTGGAATAATTTAATTGAATGCATTACATACATTAAATAGCATAGAAATGAACTGCTCACAGTAAAGACAATATTGAGATCATAATAACTTGCAATAAGTACCTCGATATAAGCGATAAAATGTGAAAAAGCATACCACTGCAATAACGTTTGCTTTACCCTCAGGGGGCACGGGTGGCCCAGTCGTCTTAGGCACCGCCATTCGCTGTGCAGAGTTGCGTCCCTTGGACACTCCAGAAACCTATGATTGTGGGTTCGAATCCTAGTTCGCCCCTATCATGTTTCTAGATTTGTCAGCACCATACCCGTGCTCGTGGGTTTCACCGAAGTGGTAAACGTCTGAGACCTGCATCACTTCGGGCTTTCCTCCCATATTAAGCTGATACGCCACGATATAACTGGAATACTGTTAAAAGCGGCGTAAAACCAAACTTACTCACTCGCTGCTTTACCCTCATGTGTAGTGTGATAAAGTATAGTTTTGCTCTGATCTATTATTGCACAAGGGGATATAACTTAAACAGCGTCATGACGTCTAACCATTATAACGTAACTCAAAAAGTATTCTGATAAAGTACAATCGGTACCTTTGATCTTTTAGCGAAGCATCTTAGAAAGATATACAGCAAGCCAATAAAACTGAGAGCCTAGAGGGCCAGCACATTTTTAAAAAAAACTGTAGGCCCAGTTGAAAAACTGAAGGCCCAAACATTTTTGCTAAAGCAGAGAGACATACTGTTACAATATAAATTACAAAACACAACCAGTCAACCAGAAGCAGTTACTGCTATCACACCGAGTTCCCAGAGACTCGGTTGTGATAGATGAAGCCAACGTTTATCAAGGAAAATATCAGCTTGTAAAACATCTTTGCTTCTGCTTGTCATACACAATCTGAAAGGTCTAATCCTACTACTGTTAATAAATATGAAAGTTATGTTTATCACATTATTTAAATCATGCCTTTTTAACTTAATCAAGTGCGTTTTTAATACAAAATTAAGCAAACACATTCATAGCGTCCATATTACACACCAAGGAAACGAAAATTATGGCGATTTTCGGCAATTTTAAGATTTCATAATAGAGCTATCCACTAACTGATTTCTTTTCATTTTCATTGTTAAAGTAATCGGAAAATGATGATAAAAAGAATTTTAAGTACGATCTATCATCACATTTTTCCAATGGTTAAATCGCGTTATTTTGAGCGTTTTATGCAGGAAATCGCAACCTAGGCTTAAAATATAGACATATCGTGCTAGGTTACGACCTGTGACAAAGATTTCTCATGCATATAGTTTGGCATTCAACTTCATGTCCAAGCCTAAAAGTCGAGGTGACACGAAAAGATTTATAGTAACTTAGATATGAGTTTGTCATTTATCTGAAATATGTTTTCTTTCGGTTTTATTTATTACTTTATTTAATTTATTGACGATTTGTTTGATATTGCTCTTCGACATGTTCGATATAGCCCCATTGTTGAAGCATGTGTTCCAGGGTATTTGTTTTTACAATAATATTGTGGGAAATAGTTCTTAGGTTTAAATCTGTTGATGAAATGTGATAAATTAAAATGAAATAAATATTTTCTGACTTTGTTAAAATTGATAGATTTTATAAATGAGTGATATAACAGGTAGGTAAAAAAACTAAATATTATTTTGACGTGGCTCAGGTGTGGCCGGTACATCGGCCTGCGGTGTTGGAAGCGTGAACAGGTGGAATACTTTGTAGCTGAACCCTGTTTCACCAAGCAATCTCAGTGTTCTGATTCATTTGCCATATTTACAGCTTAAAAGCAACTGCATTCCGTAAGGGCCTGCTGAGATTTAAAATTACCAGACCGAGAACAAATCTGTCGGTCTGAGGTCTAATTCGAACACTGCGACAGAGGGTTGTCATGTCCACCTTACTGGCACGCACACACACGCACACACACACGCACACGCACACGCACACGCACGCGCACGCACATACATACGCACGCACACACGTTTCAATAGTTTCCACAGTACACCCGTATATTCGTTGTGTGTATACCCAGTGTGAATGTTTAAGTACGTGACTTACAAGACAGATATGTATCTATAATGTATGTATCTATAGAGGACGCTTTCAAATATGCTGTTTATCACATCGAGTGGTGTGTTACAATTGACAGTATCTTCTAATCGTGATATAATAGTGATGTGACAGTGTCGTGTGGGCGGGAGACGTATCACGTTCTCCGAGGGAACAGTCATATTGTTCTGGGCGACAGGGAATGGTCATTCCAATCATTTTAGAATCAACAATTATGATTACGTTGCCATCGGTAGGGAGTAACCGATAGTGTTTCCTGTCATCATGCTTATCAGGAAGTTCTATGTTGAGATGAACACAACAGCAGACAACATATAAAGGGACACAACTCTTTGGTAGGAGAATTAACTCTTTATTCAGAAAACGTAGACTAGGTTGAATATATTGAATAACATCACGTTCATTCACTCGGTGAAAATATGGTTTTTATTTTAACTAATAAATACCGTATTCTATCATTAGAAATATAATAAATGATACGATTGAAATTAAACTGTTCGTAGCATTTACGCTGGAGGGGGGATGGTGGTGGGATGCGAGGATGTGGAATGGTGTGTGCGTGCGTGCGCGTGTGTATGGTTTTGGTTATCCCATTGAGATAACGTGCCGCAGTTTAAACATGAATACCCAGCTTAGACACGGTGTACTGAATCCGAGCCGACCGTTCCTTGTTAAGTCATTAGTGTCGCGTTCCAACAAGAAGTTCCATCTTATCAAGTCTTTTGGTAAGACACGGGCGAGGATCGAACCCAAGACATTCCCCTCTTGGGCAGACACTCCATCCACTAGACCACATAGGGGGTTATGTTGTTACAATTTTCAGCAAATACGCGAAAGCCAGCTATCACAATGTCAACGTATTACTACAAAAACAGTTAATTATAACTTCTTCTTAAACACTGTGGTATAACTTTAACACTGTTTAAGTAGTGTCCTACCAAGCCAACTCACACAACACCTGAATACATGACTGTAACCAATAATATGGCAAAAGGTTAACGGTTATGTGTTCCCGGAAATAATTATCATTAAGTTTAAATATGGCCAATGTCATGATATAGTTCATTTTCATAATAGCCAGCCCACATTTTAAGCGAGTATCAGAAAACTCCTTTGTAAAGTTACAATGACTGGCTTTCGTCATTGCTACACTGGACCATACTGCTATTATATGTACGGGGCGGTCGGGTAGCCTCGTGGTTGAAGCGTTCGCTCGTCACGCCGAAGACCCGGGTTCGATTCCCGACATTGGTAAAATGTGGGAAGCCCATTTCCCGTATCCCCCGCCGTGATATTGCTGGAATATTGCTAAAAGCGGCGTAAAACTAACTCACTCACTTACTCACTACTGTATGTACATGTTTTGAAGCCTGAAATAAATTAATACAGTATATACTGTGATATGAAAACGCGTCTTTCTACTGGTGACATATTTTTTGTAAAACTCACACTTGTTATCGCATAATCAAAATGAACATGCCATGCACATTATAAAAGACATATACCAATCACCATAAGTGCATGATACAACTCTGCTTTTTGTAGACGTTATGAAGGGTTGGTTGGTTTGTTTGTTGTTTTACGCCGCACTCAGCAATATTCCAGCTATATGACGGCGGTATGGAAATAATCGAGTCTGGACCAGACAATCAAGTGATTGATATCATGAGCATCGATCCACGCAATTGGGATACTGCTATGCTTCAACCAAGTCAGCGAGTCGGACCACACAACCCCGTTAGTCGCCTATTACGACAAGCATAGTCTCCTTTTACGTCAAGCATGGGTTGCTGAAGACCTATTCTACCCCGGATCTTCACGGGTCTTCAAGGGATTGATTTGTCATGTTTTGAGTGTACGAAATGATTACCAACTTGATATATAAACATTTTGAAAAAGACACAGTAGGTGAACTGTTGTATTCAATTGCATCGTGATTTATACTGTGTGTTAGTGTCGTTAATTATTATATACTTCAGTGTGAAAGACTGGAATTCCGAAGTTGAGAAAATATTTTCATTGCAGTGGACATAACATTTGATATTTCTCTGCTGTGAACATAACACTTTGACGGAACTATTGTAATACAAGAGTTACCTCCCCTCATATTCTCTCCCTTTGTCGTAAGTGTCTGGCCCGTACACAAACTGTTGACGTGCTTTTTATGTTAGTTCCACATTGACAAGGCAGCATAATGAGAGATGGTAATCTTTAGAGTTAATATCGCTTTGTTATTCTCTTGAAAATGTTTCGTTACAAACTGTAAATTTCTCAGTTGACTCGTCAATCGACACTGTTCGTTTTTTTACTTGACCAGCGTGTATTCTTCCGCGTCCAACTGCGGTGATGTTGGATATACCTTATTCCTGAGAACCTGGATTGTTACTGTTTAGATACTTCTTAATGCCTGTTTTCATTAATATAACTGGAATCATAAATATAAGGCAAATATGACTGTGGAATATACAGCAAAATAGTAAGTCATTAAACAAGTTAGGTCATCACAAAATATGAGAACCTGTATAAATAAGTAGTGAAAACATTGCATACACGTGAAGGGATGTATGTTTTATAGTCCAAACATACAGTATTACACATGTTTCCCCATTCCTCAAATATTATATCACTGGATAAAGGTGAGCTTCAGTGCCTGTGGTTGTGAATGGAGTAGAGATCTAAAAATTTGTCACAGCGATTAGCTACTAATTGTAACTGTGCTTTAAGACGTATTTATCCCACTCTCTCGCTCCAGGACTGCGGATATCAATGCTGTTGTGCGCTGTGCTGATGGTGTTTCTCACGGCCATAAGATGCATAACGAGTGAAGCAGTAGCAGCGACATGGTCAGTACCGCACCACTGTATGTTAAATGTGACAATCCAGTGCATGTCACATTTTATGCTGTAACATATAAAATCAAACACGTCCCATTTGAATTCTGTAAATCCATTTGTCTAGAAACTCTACGGTCTACGGCCCAGTCTCGGTCAAAGGTATTTACAAAATTTAACATGCTGTTATCATAGGAGCATACTAAGGAAGAAAAAATTAAAACAAAATTGTGCAAAAACTCAACATTTACACTATGTCGTCAATGGTCGTCTTGTTTTTCTTTCGCAAATACATAAATGTATTCCTTCAAGTATCATGACACAAAATTTAACTCATTTTAACCTAATTCAACGATTTTGTAGCGATGTTGAAATGTTTCGCCCATGGACGAGAAAAAGGTTTGGCTCCGGACCATCACTGTAGAATCTCAACTGAAGGGATGCACATATACCACAAGGACATAGGTGTCTGCTTGACCTTTGACTTAGTGAAACATAACTTTCAGAGTCTTTGTAATCGCATTGCGGTCAATAGTGGATATGTCATGCTTTAGAAACAACATCTTTGAAACAATTTGGTGCAGTATTTCTGATTTGAGAGTCTCATGATCTATATCGTTCCATTCAAATCCTTCAATGGATACCTTTCTTGTATTGTACGTGTCTATTTCTCGGTCGTCTTGTTCAGCAACTCCTAGGAAATCGTACCCACCTAGTTGCTCGCCTCTTGCAGTTCGTCAAGTGACTTCTCCTTGTATTCCCGACATGACCTGTCTTTCCTCAGGATGTAACGCATATCTAAAACTGTGGGTCTAGCAAATCCTTTATTGAGGTTGATGTGTGTCTTGTAGTTTGTGGTAGAAATACTCGATGAAGGGTTGCACGTAATGGAGAGACAATTGGGTTCTTTTTCTCCAAGTCTCTGAAATAACTCTCATGGAATAAGGTTCCATCCTCAATTTGTTCATTTAGCCTGTCATCAATCAGTTCATCCACTAGCCCAAGAAACTGGTCGCTGTCGTACATATGTGTAAAGTATATGAGCAATATGCCACCCATTGAGTTTCTCAGTGCACAGATACTCTCAAAATACGATCCTTTTCCTCTTTTGTTTTCTTTCTTTTGGTTTTCACTTTGTTCACGACCCTGCTGTCTGTCCAGTTTTCCTTTCTTTGGCGAGCTTGCATCCGTGCACAGACTTCCTGGTGAATCTTTAGTCTTTGATGGACAGATGCTGCTGATGTCAACATGCATAGATAGGACACATTGCGAGCTCTTGATGCCACTAACAATCGTCTTGCATTTTGGACAGTCTGAAAAAGTGCATATCTAGAGTTTAGATGTACTGGACGCCTTGAACCGTTCTCAAAATGGGTACTTTATGTGTATTATCCTTCATACGCATATATGCGATTGTATGTATATATTGTATGTGTTTCGTAACGATAAAACTCTATGAGCAATAATTAACACACACACGTTTCATAAACTAGCAAAACCCCCGTAATTTGAATGGCCACATTCCTTTGCTCATATTATTCTTATATTTTACTTACTTTCATCATCTGTTCCATGTCCACTGTCCACTGTTTCTTCCTCAAGCTTTCTCTTCATTTCACGTTTAGAGGTGCGTTCCATCGTGATAGCATACGTCTCACGTCGCTGCGTATATCACGCATACCTGTACAGTCAGCTGATCAACTGATTATTTATAAACGGGAACATACACCGCGGAGATTGTTCTGGGTGTGTTACAGATCATTAACAGCTGTTTGTATTTTATTGAAGGATAGGCTAAGTCTCGCCTCTAGCGTATCATTACTTGGGTGCAGTGTGCAACAACACAATCTATGTTAGGTGCATAATGTGCGTCACAATATGTGAACATAAAGAACTTGGAGTAAAGTAATCCATTTCAAGTCGAGAGCTTTCAGCGCCAACGAGCCTCTTCAGGCCGATCTGTACCTTGCCTAAACTTTGTATAATGTATATCTTCATAATATTACGGTCGAACAGTTGCCCGAGACGCCTCAATTCACTGTTGAACGCCCGTTAGGCGTGCAAGAAACATATATCATCGCGGGTTTGAATCCCGGATCGTCGTCATTATTTTCTAGTTGTGTCAGTACCACACCCGTATTCGTGGGTTTTACCAAAGTAGTAGGCTTGTATAACTTGTGATTTGTGATACCATTCCATACCATTTTGGACCCACCCCAAAAGCGATCATACTGTACGACGTTAACGTCCATAAAACGCTGATTAGGACATATCCAAATTCGATTTCTTCGGTCATGGAAGTCGAGAGTGAAACACAATTCCTCAGAAAACATGACATTAGCTAAACGTCGTTTTCCCAGTGCTGACGTTCCCTAAACCACTGGCGCCTCTGATTCAAATGACGTGCATCAAGTTGTAGGATGACACGTGGACGTCTTGCTTGCAAGAAGATTTCTCACCGCCTGGGCATGTACTCTTATACCAGCGGCCTGTTGCTATTATCTGAATGTCAGTTTGCAACCGATATCTTGATGCCATCGTTCTGACTAAACTGTCCTGGGCTGGAGTTGTTGCCCTTGGGCGTCCAAAGCGGCGTCCATCAGCGACGTTATGTTATTGCTGATGATTAAATGTAATAATTATTGTTATAGCATGTTTTATGTTTTGTTATAGTTCTGACAAAGCTCTAACGTTGTGTTAGGAAATATAATTTTTATAATATTACAGCTTTATCGTTCAGACGTTGTGTTAATAAAAGCGACAAAACTCTTTCCATATTCACAAGAATTATCCACTAAAGGCAGAGTCGAATGTACGATTCCGACTATATCATTAGCATGTGTAAATAAAACACAATTAAATAGTGATGACACCAGGTGACGTCATTTGCTGCAGTTAACCTTCCACCTACAAGACTCCATAGAAATGCATCAAGGATAACAAATGTCAGATTCAATTTTGAGTATTACCCTCAGCTCATCAGCTATCACTTCAAATAGATACGTGAATGTTTTAATTGTTTTAAGTCCATGACGTTTACCTTATGTATTAAGATATCTCTCATGCTCTGTTATTCGAATCTTCTTCTCAGGTTAATAAATATCGCCGCTATTGTGAATGGTGTGGCTGGCACTGTGCCATCCGCCGGCCCCGCCCTCCTCTCTGCCACGTGGTTTCCCCCAAAAGAGAGGGCCACAGCTACAGCCGTGTCATCTGTCTCAGGCATCCTCGGCATATCTATCGGCTTCATCATTGGTGAGTAGAGCGTTTACAAGTCATCGGTCCATCAGCAATTGTTTCAAATACCGTCGTCCGAAATCACAATATCGGTTCTGAAAAGGCTTTGATGCGGGGTATAAAGGATCATTTATTCTGCCTCTCAGAAATCCACGTGCAGCCTGACTTGCTCTTGGTGGGATATAAAAGGTTTATTCCCAGCTGAGTCATTTATTCTCCTCCTAGGCGGGAAACACAGTATTTTATTAGATAACGTGGACCATTCAGATATCATCATTATGACATGGAAGTATGACAAGACATTTTACAACATAAAACTAATCAGCAACTGATGTCACAAAATGTCACATGCAAAGGGATGACGGGAACTACGATGTTTTGAGCAGGATTACACATCCAGGTGAAATATGATATGAATGCTTCATAAAAAAAACTAAATGATACTTATCTTCGATGTATCAAAAGTGTTGCATTATTCCATAAGGGCATGTAGAGTGTTACCCCAAAATGTGCTCACGTAGCATAAGTAACCATTCTGATGCAATTTCATTAAAGCAATATCTCATAGGAGACATCGCTTGATATCACACAAATGATATCTCCAACTTAAGCCAGGTTTGGATGATAAGTACAATTTTTATCTACAGGGCCGCTCTTGGTGCCGCAACCAGAAGAACAATCCTTGAACATGACGGACACACTACACATGAAGTAAGAAACGCATCCATTCATTATTATGTTGCGATGAATATGATTACGCAAGATAGCATGATATATGAAAACATATTTAATGGACATTCTTAAAGTGCTTTACCATAGCGGTAAAATATTTTGTCTTTTCTTTTTCCAAATCGTTTTGTGCATCTTTGATAACATTATTATGTCTTCCCTAGTAACCATGAGAAGCGGTTGAGCTGAGTGAAGATGAATATTGATTTCTGTATGCCTCACATATCCAATATATGAATGGATATAATCAAAGTTAAGAATTAGATGTAATTTTCAAAATACCTTTTCATAATCCCATCAATGAAGACAGGACTAACATCAGCTTCTTTCAGTATTTTGCCAATGCGACGTTATATATTTTATGTTAATGATGATATCCATCCCCCACACCATCACATCCCCCACGCCCAACACACAACCACCCACCCACTGAACACACCCCTGTGGTTTATGTTATTGGGTTTTGACTATATTCAATTGAAAACATTGCTATACTTGTTATATAATAGAACTGACCTTGTTGCAGTTCGTCAAGTCAGGGGAAATCCAATGCATTCAACGTGACGACATCACCCGCTAACCTGTCCGAGATGAGAAGCGGCATCATGAGACTCATGTATATAGGTGATCAACGTTTTCTGCATCCACTATATCAAACCGTGTAGAAATACCATTTTAATTTTAATAATTTTAAACCGTATTTTTTCTTTTTCTCACTTGTTATGTATGCACGTCACCTCATTGGGTCTTAGAGAAATCTTGTGTTTAAAGTGTGTCGTCGTCATATCGAAAGAGTTGGGTTCGATTCCCCCATGGATGCAGTTTGCGAAGGCAATTCCTGGTGTCCTTTATAGAGTTTGCTTGGATATAAATGATGTGTCGCATCTTCTGCATTTTGGAATAACAGTATTAGTCGTACGTAAATAACTTCTAAAATGAGTGTAACTCTGTGTGTCGTGTTTTATGCTTCTACTGACAATATTATCTCTGTATTCCACGTGTTAACTGTGCTGTGTACAGAATGTGGAGCTTGTGTGCTGCTGCTGTTCCTGGTGGTGGTGTACTTCCCCGCCAAGCCCCCCTCTCCCCCAAGCCTCACAGCGTCTATGGAGAGGACAAGCTACCTACAGGGGCTCAAGGGACTATTCACGTAAGATGGTAGTGATGTTCTTTAAAAGTGCTACACATTTTCCGAACCCATTTCCTTACTGTCAGTACGAGTAACTGGTGTTACCTTAAGGGCTACCGCTCGATGGGTGAAACAGGAATGCTGATATGCTCTGTAGGATTTAATACGACCGGCTGCAAATCATGTCATCAAAAGTGTACTTTGTATTCCGGATTGAACAAGGCGATAGTTAATCCCTATTCAAATTACCCTTTTGATGATTCGATCTAGCAGTCAGAGTTGTTGACGTCCGCTGTAAATCCATCTTTCCGAGGCAAGGGCGTTAACTGACTATTAAAGTCCAGTTTCCATCCTTGCCGAACTCAATTGGAATTTCCAGGCTTGGTCGTAGCGCCACAAGTGGCTATTACGAGTCATGCCCCTTCTACGTCCCTTTAACCGACCAATCATGTTCCAGCTCTCGTGTCACTTGCATTTGCTTCAAACAAAATGACGGCGCCCTGCCAAGACGATCTGATCAATAATCCAGATCTATACTGAACAACAAAAGTTCCTGTGACATTGAATAAGATTTAATGCAAAGTTATGTTTTTTACCAAATCTGAAACAATTTCGGTTTGCAACAGATAAAAGACTCCTGTAAGTGTTCAAATGGTTTAATTTGCCATACTGACTTCAGAAAATGCGTGATTTCATAAAACCATGAAAATGCCAAAATGTCAATTTACAAATCAATAGCGTGTGTGTCCATCTCTGGTTGCGATGCAAACAACACATCTTCGTCTCATGGAAAGGACCAGGCGTCGCACAAAGTCCTGTGGGATATCTGTCCATATCTGCTAGAGCATGTTTCGAAGTTCCTGGAGTGTCTGTGGAACACGTGGTTGACGAAGGCGCCGATCCATCTCTTCCCACATGTGCTCGATTGGTGAGAGATCAGAGGAGCGAGCCGGCCAGGGAATGACATTCACGTTGTTTTGTTGAAAAGAATCCTGAACAAGTCGAGCAATATCAATATCGAGCGTTGTCATGTTGAAAGGTAATGCCTGGGCCATGACGACGCAAAAACGGTAGAACAACAGGGTCGATGATCTCGTCGCGGTAGCGCTGTCCATTGAGATTCCCCTCTACCACAATCAAACCGGTCCTCTGTCTTGCTGTAATCCCGACCCATACCATAACGCTGCCGCCCCCGAACCGATCTTCTTCCATGACACAATGATTGACGTAACGTTCACCTCGACGTCGGTACACTCGAATCCGTCCATCGCTTTGGCTGAGATGAAAACGAGACTCGTCAGTGAATAGAACTTGTCCCCACTGCATGGCCGTCCAGCGTAGATGCTGTATGCACCACTGTAGACGTGCTTGACGGTGGTTTCCTGTCAAAATGGGACGTCTGGCGGGTCTTCTGGCGACAATCCCTGCACATCTGAGGCGACGACATACGGTTTGTGAAGATATTCGTCGAAGGCCAGGGATGCTTCTTGCAGTCACTGTTGCTGGCTGGAATCGATTTCGTAGGTGTGTTGTTCGAATCCAGTTGTCTTGTCGATTATTGGTTATGCCTGGCCTGCCACTCCGAGCATTGTCTCTGACTGCATTCGTCTTGCAACATCAAGTTGACTCGATCCTGCTTCAAGCATACCAATGGCTCGCAGACGCTCATTTTCGGACAGGCGTGGCATTTCGTAATGTTGAATGATTGCGTAATTTTGTTGTTTTTCTGAGTGGTTGTTGTCAGCACGATGCTAAACAATGCATATGGAATCCCGTTAACCCACATGTTTTTATACCCATTCGTGGGTAGTGAAATGCATGGGGCTTGCATAAAAGTCAGCTTTTGCATGCTTTTCTGTAGCAGTTGCGTTTTTGTGACTTGATTCCATACATTTACTACACTATTGAAAACCAAACTTTACTTGTTTGAAAAATATACTAAAATATTCGTGTCACAGGAACTTTTGTTGTTGAGTATATATTGTAGTAAAACGGGTCTTACCTCGCGAAGTGCCTCAAATCACTCGAACACCTTAATTAAAAAAATAAAAAGATTTGCAAAATATCTGTCAACGCTAATTTGGCGGTACACATGCTTTGCAAATCCTGCAGTCGACCGAACGTTGCACATTGAAATGTATGTTGTTTGCGAACCGGATGTCTAGTTCGTCACGCGATTTTAATTCGACTGTGCATAGACCCATAGGTTCAGGCAAAATGAAACTCCGGAATTCCAGCCCGAAGTATTGCAGTTCTCACTGGTGAAACTCTCGAGCAAGGGTATGATGCTGACAAACCTAGAAACATAATCTAAAACGGATCTGGGATTCGATCCCACAATCATAGGGTTCTGGCACGCCTATATCTGCACAGCGAAATGCGGCACCTTGTGACCGATGAACGGATGAGGGGCTACAGAAACCGCAGATAAGGTTGTCATTTTTCTTTGTGCAGACATAAACGCTTCCTGGTGATCATGGTGGCCTTCAGTGTCCCGACGGGAGTTTTTAACGTGTTTGGAGCTGTACTGGATGTGGTATTGGACGGTATCGGAATAACGCAGGTGATAATGATAAAGATGATACAGTCTAATAATGCTGGACACATGGATGCATACATATAACACTGTATGGACAACTGATCTGTGGGATTAGGAACTGAACTTTGTCTTGGGCAGATTATAATGCTCTGATCGAAGGCTTCTTGTTTTTAGGAAGGTGCCATTTTAGATAGTCATCTTCAGAGAGCCATCATCATCTTGTTGCCACAAAGTATCCCCGTAAACTAGCTTATTGCTAGTAGTTACAGTAGTTAGAACTCGTTCACTGGTGAGATCGTTCAACCAGGGAGCAAGCACTATTATTTTTTTTCAAAATGTGAACAACAAATTGATCGGCAGAATATTTGCCTATATCTAAAATGTGGAACGATCAGTGGTATATCACCTAAAATTTATCGAATGCTTCACATGTATTAGGATTATTTTAATAACAGGGAATATGGTTTATTGAGCATTGTTTCAATAAGTATTCGGTAAAACACATGACGTCGTGAGGTGTAAAATCCGTACAAAGAGAGATACAGTGCTGGGTCCAGCAAATGTACCACCAAATCCCTGTCTCAAAGACTGACCACAATCCTCAATACAATCAAGGAAGGATTTTCTTTATATTCACGGAAAGTATTTATATCATGTGGATTCTCAAAAACGCAAAGGATTTGCTTGACATTTTGGAATATCAGAGGAACCAAGTTCCTATCTGTCAAAACCTTTGATTTTTCAACTATCCCACAAGCCAAACTTGAGGGAAAACACAACACTCTCCATAAGGCTGTATGACAAGAGGGATGACTTCAACTTTTCAAATGTCAACTTTTCCTTTATGTCGAGCAATATACCGGCTTCTTCAACCTTTGGTACCATATGTTCCCGCGTTTGTTCAGGCGAACAAATAACTTGCATTTGCATGTGTTGATGACGGGTACCACTGGTGGTGCAGGATATGCTCACTATTTGCTCATGATATAGTCGGAATCATACAATCGACTCCAGTCTTTTATATCGATGTACTTTCAATTTCCTAGTCAATCAGAATCTATCCCATTCGGACTCGTTTGGAACCGGTAAAAATGTTCGGTTTAAGGCAATGTCCAGAAGACAAAAAGTTCGACTGAATACAAAACGAAAAGCAACGATCAGTCATCTTTAAACGCATACACATTAATTGTACACGAAATATTGTCATGGTCTGGCAGTAAATACACATTAAAACATTCCTTACTTGTTTCTGATAATTGTTTTTTCATGAAGTGCCAAACCAGCTCTTTTGGAATTGTAAAATCGACACTATTTTCTTTCAGTACCATGCCGGTTGGATTGGGTTTTATGCCACGACAGGTGCTTGTGTAGTGGCACTACTGATGTCCAGGTATGTACATGCATGTCGGGGGTGATTGGGGACCGAATATACGACAAACATCGATCGTTCAACTTATGCACATTATGCTTTATGCTTGACACATTTGACTGTATCGAAGCGTTAGGCATAACATAAGGTATATACTGTTCACAACCAGTCAAGTATTGTTGATTGCTGTCCCCTCTATTTCAAGGATTGTTGATCTGTTTCTACGTCACATGAAGATGCTGCTGTTGGTCCTATTCGTCTTGGCAACAACCGCCACACTCTGGTTTGTCCTGCTGCGTCTGTCCTTCATCCCCTTCAGTATGGGTAAGGGTGAATATTGTGTGTAAATAGGCAAACAGATTGAGATATGATATGCTTACTTTATCGTGTAAACATGTTCATGTGTACGTGTCTGTTGAACAAGTGGAATCAATTTCAGTGTTTGAATAACAAACTAGGTGTGGTCTGCTTGTGCCCTGTTTCAGTGTCACTGTACATCTCCTGCATCTTGATGGGGGTCTTCATCAGTGGTGGTACCCCGCTGTTCTACGAGCTTGGTTGTGAGGCGTCATACCCTATAGCCGAGGGAGTGACAGTCGGTGTTCTCACACTTGCCAACAACCTGACTGGTGTCATCTTTTTGTCTGTGCTGCAGATCCCAAAAATAGGTACACCACCATCTTCACATCTTAAGTAGGGTTACGAATGGTGTTATTTGGGGGCCGGTAAGTTGTGTTAAATGCTGCATTCAACAGCATTTATGTCATCTCTCAGCATGTCTGCTGCACGTGGGAGGAAAGCCAAAACTAAAGTGGACAGTAGACGGGGTTTGTTCACTTTGATGAAACGCTGACAGGCTTAATATTATATCCCGGTTCACTAATAGATTCCAACTCGTATCCTGACAAGGTAAGGCTACCACTGAACCACCCATATCCCAAAAGACATGGATATATTCAAGTCCAGTCTTTTAATATATTCGTTATTAAAACACTTGCTTTGGCATTAATATTAATATTATTTTCTGCGCCTTATGAAAAGGTCCCATTTTTTAAACATCTCCAATGTTGATTTGTGAGGAAAGTGCATGAGGCGAATTACACAGAAATGTCTTGATTTACAGACAGACATACATTTCATTCAATAATATGACACTGGACATGTAACAAGCCTACACATATCACATAAATATATTTCTTACCTTAATAATTTTGTACATGATGTAGGAGTGAGTGAGTGAGTGAGTTGGGTTTAACGCCGCTTTTAACAGTATTCCAGTTATATCTCGGCGTGTCAGCTTAATGTGGGAGGAAAGCCCGAAGTGATGCAGGTCTCAGACGTTTACCACTTCGGTGAAACCCACGAGCACGGGTATGGTGCTGACAAACCTAGAAACATATATGGGGCGAACCGGGATTCGAACCCACAATCATAGGTTTTTGGCGTGCCCAAGGGACGCAACTCTGCACAGCAAATCGCGGCGCCTTAGACGACTGGGCCACCCGTGCCCCCACATGATGTAGGAATAAGGCATTGTTGAATTGGACTTTCATGTGTTCGATTACTTAAGTTACTGCACCTAACTTTGATCTTGTTTGAATTAAAGTTGAACGACCAACATAATCAAGTGATCTCAACATTTAATGAAATATTGATGTTAATTCTTTTTTGTGGCAAGTGAAACTGTATATGTGTATCAGGTTCACCTTAATATAAACTCTAAATATGCAGTTTCGACATGTAAGTGTTCAATCTTAATGGTTTAAAATGCATCCATGTATGTGACTGAAATCAACCACAAACTATTCATGTGAAGTCCCCGTATCTCTTCAGGTGTTGTGTGGATGCCCTGGTGCATCCTGGGATCTGTAGCAGCTACAATACCCCTACTCCTGTTGTTCACAGAGAACTACACCAGGACTGACATCGACACACAGACGATCACAGTTCCAGAGCCAGAAAAGGGTGGTTCTGCTTAATCAAAACAAACAAGAAACTTGGTTGATGGTAAACATCACACACGCTGACACCGCAGATTGTGTATCAAAATACTCCTTTGACAGGGGAATCGGTGCCTAATCTAAATGGAGACCTAGGTACTGGTATTACTGCCCATGGTATAGGGAGTTTATCTTGACTTGTTAATGAATCTAGCTATCTGATTGACCAGTGGACACTAGGCTGGTGGGCTTCAGCGAAAATAATGACATCCTATTGTTTGAAGCGACGTCATTTGCTTCTTACGTTGCATCTGTTCGCACCTACCTAAATACCTAACTGAAAGTCCGATGTTGGTAACAATACAGATCAAAGCGTCAAAAATGTTATCACAATAAGTCTTGTGAAGACATAAGGTTAATATCGATACATGAGTGAGTTGTGTGATTTACGTTATTTTACGAGTTTTTGTATATTGGTGTGATTGTGTCTAAGAAATGTGTAATGTACATACAACATGTACAGATACATTAGTGCTTTGTTGATTTTAACAAGCATTATTATCAAGACGGAGAATATCATTCCATCGGTCTTAGCGCTAGTTCATTAGCTACGCTAATAAAAACAGGGATGCTATTCCGGAAACCAGGGCCCCGTTCCTCAAAGCGATCTTATAATTAGAGCTAAGATGATCGTAAGCCTTTGTTAAAGTATGGGACTTACGATCACCTTAGCGCTAAGATTGCTTTTAAGGAACGGGGCCCAGGTCTTGGTATTTAAAGAGTCGTTTAGCAATATTATTGTATCACGCGCTTGTGTTAATTAATCACAGTTTGGGTTTAATGTCACTTTGAAAAGTATTCAGTCATCCCACAACGTGTCAGTTGGATGTGGAAGGAATATACAGATTTAATATATATACATCCCTACATGTGCACATACACACAAAAGTGTAAGCTGTAATCAGAGACCATATAATAGGTCTATTATATGGTCTCTGCTGTAATATTATTCAATGTGGCCATGCGTTCACCATGCATGGGTTAACAAAATACACTCATAACATGTGAAGATAATTGTATTGTAGGCTTGTAAATAAAACAATATGTAGTGAGTACTGATGCAATACAAGACAAATTTATTTTAAGTAATTCATTATGTGACAAGCTACACTACTGCCTAGAAGTTCATTCCCCTTTCACGCATGGGCAACGCGTTACGCAACCCGTGTGCACCCCGTTGGTCACTCGTGTGGAACCCGTACGCCACGCGTGTGATACCCGTGTGCAACGCGTGTCACACTCATTAGAGGGGGACCAAACTTTTGACCAAAGGAGGACCCATGTCCAGCTGAACCTGGAGGTGGTAACAAGGGTATAACTTTTTGATTTCCTGACGAAAAATTTTAATACACATTTTATTATATGTATTTGCTGATGTTTCATTTTTAGATGTGATTACATGGTGTCTTGCGATGGTGTTAAGAGAATACATGATCCTGTTACATGTTATTGCTATTCAAATGGGTTTTTTGTGATTTGACATTAAACGTCTGTATACGACTCTCAGTGATCATGTTTATTAGGTTTGGTGGAGCATTGTTTTTATTGGACCCTAATTACTTTATGATGGTTGGGCCTCTTCGTCTCAGCTCCATAGCCGTGACGCTGGGAAAGGGCAGCATTTAATTATTGAGAGTAGATTATATCATGGAGGATACACTTGAGGGAGAGGGTTATACTAATTACCGTACCACAGGAAGAGACCTGTAGACGTGAGCGCGCGGGGTTATGTGTAAGATGGCCGTCGCATATTGACCGCCAGGCGATAGCCGACGAGTTTCATTATTTATTTAAATGCTCCTTTTTTGATACCATGAGATCACATTATATTCCAATTTATCTTTGTAAATGGCCGAATCTCGCAAAGCTCAAAGTTTTGTTTACCTAAAATAATCGTGAAAAATATCTCCAGATTTATAAGAATTATTAATAATGCTGTCAGAAGATGAGAAGATGAGTACAACACTATAATCTACAACTTACTAAGTGATCACTACAATTTATTGTTTATGTTATAACTTTATTTGTATTGTTCCTGTACCACCTATGGTGGTTTGTTGGAATAAAACATTGATTGGTAAACATTGAGCTAAAGCAGTGTTGTTTTCACGGGCCTGTTGCATAAATTCCAAGCGCTGCTGTCCATATATCTTCTACTTGATCCTGGATACATCATTTTGGCATTTACATTATAATATTTTTCATAATAATATTCAAATCGCATTAAAATACAATGATAATAAGATTCATATGTAACCCTAAAGCCTGTGTTCCACATTCATAGCCAGGAGGACAGCTACTGACTAACCAAAGGGAAGAAGCTTGCCCTTACATATATGTAGAGACATCATCTGAATATGACTATATATGCAAATGTTACGAAACTGTACCTATCTTCACGAATTATTAAAAAATGGGCATAAAGTTCACGGAGACGAAGGCTATAGATACAATACCATATTTTATTTTTTAGATGATAAAGTACATCATTTGATAATAAATTCACTTATTGATATCTAAAAACCGATTTTCCATATTAATAACCATTTCATGATAAAACACAATCAAATGTGTGATATAAATTCATTCTTTAGTATCCATAAATGAATTATTGATATCATATAACGAATAAATAGTAAAAAGGCGCCCTATATATTGTTCTTTGTGGACTGTATTAAGTAACGCATTTGCATCACGGTTATAATGTCAATTGCTAGTCTTTTTTCTGCACCATCATTTCTTTCATCTTATGAAAAACTGTTTAAAAAATGGCAACTTATAATTAACCAAGGTAATAATACTTACCCGAACTGCGTTTATTTATCTCTCTGTCATTATTATCGTTAACATGTGTCTACTTTTAAGTGTATATACTTATGCCATAGATCGTACTGGTTAAGGAATGACACATCATCGCGAGATATATGTACTCCATACACATGATTCTGTAGCACAGAAAATCGTTACCCCGAGTTACTGTGTAACGGTTCACCCCTTGTTTTCAGGGTTTATACACGCCAGAGCGACATTGGGGTGAAAATAGCTCAGTTTGACTCGGCTTGTATGCCGCTCTCGTTAGATTTGCTAACGAACCAATTAAGGTCGGATTTAGTGCACAATGCGTTTAAGCTCCCGTGTGTAATCCTAATGAAAACACATTAAGGGGTTCAAAACAACACAGTAATCCATATCATGTTTCACATCACCACGAAATATGTCACATAAATAAGATATATTTCTTCTTTTAATAACAAAATAAGATAATAAAAAGTTTTGTCACTTATTGACAATGATTTACCGTATGATGTTCGAAACACTGAGGCATCTCTCCGTACCCTGGTGAGAGAGATGGGTAAGGACAAAGAGTACCATGTACGTGGTACCCGTCTCATCAGGAATGGGAGACAATAGGACACCAGGCGTCTTAGACTGAGTTGTTGGAACTGTGGTGGGTGGTCTTGGTTTAAACATATTCTTATTCATTGAAATGAGTTGGGATTGGTGAACAAGCTTTACAGCTTATGTTAACACCGCTCCTATACAACATATATTCCATATTGAAATGAAGGATGTGACGTCATCGATATAGACATTATTTAAATAATATGTCTGTACATATTACATCAGATACAAAAACATAAATAGAAAGTTACAGCTTGTGTGTGTCTAACAAGTCGTTTGTAACAAAAGTAATAGTCAATCATGAGGTTATTGTCCGGTTTATTTAATTATTAATTTGTGAGGAGCTGAAACGTTTTGTCTTGATGATAAAATCGTGGACGGATTCAACTAATTTCTGGTTTTCAGAGTGAGCAAGTTCATTGTTTCCGTTCATAATAGTATCCAGGTTATAACCGGTAGTGTAAAAGTGCATATTAAGTCTTATCTGAGTAAAGTTACAGCAAGTAAACAAATAATGTAGGGCGTTTTCACTCTGATATCCACAGGAGCAACACGGACTGTCAATTAAATGTCTGTTATAATACTTATCGGCGTTTAGGTCGCTACAACCGAGTCTGAGGCGGCAGTGAACGATTTGACAGAATCGAGTGCCATAGCTAAGGTCAAAATAAGTCTTCGGTTTTCGTAATAAGGTTTTTAAATTCTGACAGACTACTTGACTCTTTGGACTTTGGTAGAGCATTCCATAAGTGTATTGTGTCTGGTAAAAAGGATTTGGCGTAAGGGGAAGTACGGCTATAAATTCCTTGTATTTCAACCTGTTTCTTAAATTATACTTTGTAGTTTCGGAGACAAAGTTTGGGATCAAATCACAAAGATAGTTTGGGAATTGGTTGTTATACATTTTAAAGAAAAAAAATATTTTTTGGCAGTATCTTCTATCTTGCAAGGATTGAGATTTAGTTTCGTTATAAAGTTTCTTATGACTTGTGCCACGAACGGCACCACATATAGTTCTCAGGGCATCAAGATGTAGGCTTTCTAATATACGCGATTGCTCAGACGTACAGTTATCCCAAATATGCGAACAATAGTCAAATGTTGGCAAGATATAGGACTTATACATAGTATCCAAGGTTTTACGTGATAACCGGTATTTAAAACTCCTCAGACAACTGATCATAGGGCGAACTTTTTGTACAATATCATTAATGTGATCAGTCCATGTACAGTCGCTTTGGAGTGTCACTCCTAAATGTTTATGACTTTGGACTTCTTTTATGATTGTTCCGTCCATAAGTAGGTTCGGCTTTAGAGACGCTTTAGCTTTACGTGAGAATTGGATGGTTTCGGTCTTATTTGGGTTAAATGTAACCTGCCACTTACGGGCGCATTGTGAAATTGTATCTAGATCATTGTTAAGACAGGTAGCAGCAACTGATGGATCTTCTATGATAACATATAATGAAGTGTCATCTGCAAAGAGACGAATGTTACTGTCAATATCACATACAATATCGTTAATGTATATCAGAATAAGAAGTGGTCCAAGGACTGAGCCCTGAGGTACTCCAGCCAGTACAGCTTTCTTGTCAGATTTGTACCCGTTAATTGCTACCCGTTGTACTCTATTTTCTAAATAACTTTCAAACCATTTTAATAGTTCGTCTTGGATACCATGAGTTTTCAGTTTATTAATAATTCCTCTATGCCATACCTTATCAAAGGCTTTACTTATATCGCAGAAGACTGCTCTAACTTCTTTTCCTTCGTCAAGAGCTTTAGCTATGAAATTATACAAATAGGTTAATTGATTTGATGTGGAATCTCCTGGCATAAATCCTGATTGTAAATTTGTTAGTAGGTCGTTATCTCTTAGGAAGTTGAATACATATTTAAATACACATTTCTCAAAGACTTTTGATAAACAAGATGTGAGTGCGACAGGACGGTAGTTTTAACATTCATGTACGCTGTCTTTTTTGTGGATAGGTATTACTGATGCTTCTTTCCATAAACAGGGAAAAATTGACTGGCTAAGTGATAAATTAAACAATTTCGTAAGTATGGATGTTAGACTATTTGCGGTATATCTAAGTACTTTATTTCCTATTCCGTCCGGACCGGTCGCTTTTGATGTATCCAATGACAATAGAATATCTCTGACGTCATCGCGGGTTAGAGTGATGTTAGATAATGTTGAGTTACAGGGAACCGGGGGGTCGGGCACATCTTGATTTTGATCTTCAATTGTCGACTGAGCGGTAAAGTAGTTATTTAAGACATTTGCGATTTCTTCGGGGCCATTGTAGACTGCATCATTGAAAATAATTGTTGGGAATTGGCTGTTATCGTTGCGTGATTTTATAAACACTTTAATCAGGCGCCACCACGTTTTGGTACAAAGCGAGTTATTAACAGTATCTTCAATTTTAGAGACGAATATTTGTTTGGGTGGTCTTTGAAAGACAATGATAATTCGAACTTTAGAAACGATGTCTTATTGTCAAGAAATTATGCTTTTATAGGTTTGTGTGAGACTTTTTTACGTGATGATGAGAAAATCACAGTAGATGGCTACAAGTGGATAGGGCATAACAGAATGAAATTCGATAAACATGCTAAAAGGGGATCAGGTGGGGTTGGGTTTTTAGTTAAGGAAACACTTCTTGATTTTTATGACTGTTCTGTACTTAACAATGAATATGAAGGGATTCTGTGGATAAAGCTGAGCAATAAGAGCGCAACCTACATATACTGTGTGTGTTACCTACCCCCTGCAGGCTCGTCTCGCTATGGGAC